CCTTATTCGGGAATGTGTAAACAAACTCGGACGGTGCGAAATCCGGGCCGTTTTGATATCGCGAAGGATTGCCTGCACCGTCAAAAAGTAAGGAACGGTATGTTAGAAACAATCCATCTTTGAATTTGGCACGTTTACGAACCTTCGACAAAGAGGGCCCAGCAAACAGTGGGTTCACGGTTGGTTGCCAAGAAATTTCATCAAGAGTTTGTCTCCGTAAGGCTTAAATTCGTTTCGCTCGCTTGAAATGTTTTGCCACTTTTTTAACGTGGGAAGACGCGAGTGTGTATAGCGCACGCCTGAGGAACGGAAAGCGTTATGCTGTTATTTATAATTGAGTACCGGGTACGGCATGATTACGTCACACAACCTCGTTTGCACGTTTACTATTAACAAAAAATGGTCTGAGTGCAGGCGAGCTGGTGTAGTTTTAGCATGACGGAAAACTTGATATATGAATACATGAAAGCTTGATAGAACATCGAGGGCAGGGACGGAAAGAGTACTTCTTTCAAAAAGTCCTGTATCCGTCCCCGTCCTTCATGTTATATCATTTCATATATTCGTATCTATTCACCAACACGCTCATTTTCAATTATTAAATCTGAGACTGAGGTAGGAAAAGGAAAACGCAAAGGCAAAACGGGAAACGTGTCAAGAGACGTTGCCTGTTCTTTTTCTGTCCTTTTGCGTTTTCCTTTTCCTACCCAAATTCAGCTATATCATCATGTTCACATTTACTGTATCTTAGTTAAAAGCAGAATGTCCAGCCGTCACATTGATGATCCAGCCACCTGACACGGGGGGCTCTCGTCTTAGGCTTTGGAAAGCAGGGCAAAAAGTGCGGGGTGTTTGACATCGGGTGCTTTCGTGCACCACCCGCCAAAGGCTACAACAGCTTTATAGAATTTGGCATTTTAACAATGTTTCCTTCTATTCGTGCAACCTTCTGCTGCGCGGTCGTGAGGCATGACGACTATGAAGCAAAGCCGCGAGAATACCGGAGGAGTCAAGCATAACCAGCACTGTCTGAGCGACCGAGCGGGCGAGACAGCCACCAAATATGGCGCCCTTTCCCTTTCCTCTCCTCTCTCAGAGTCGGCGCATGCGCCCAGCGATCTCTGAAAAAGGTCAATTGTGACACCACACGTTTATTTCGTTTCACCGTGCATTTTTTTTAGCCATTTCTACCTTCCTTTTGCGTTGCATCGGGACGATGCACTTTTAAAAGGGGGGATAATGCCGCCCGCAGGGTCGATAAAGAAATGCTCGGTCACGGACTCCTAGTGGATTCGCGTTCATTCTCGCACCAGACGTAACTCTCCTCCTGCTTTCTTGTTCTTGAAAGTGCTAGCTCATCCTCGCCCCGAGCGCGCGACGCTCGAACTTCCTTTGCCGAACTTTCAAGATAGTGACGCACGGTAGATAAGCAGCTGCCCGCGACCTTGTCCAGTCAGTCTCGCTCGCGCTCTCTGTTTCGCCGCCGAGTCGCCGCCTTCTTTTCTGCTGCCTCGACGCTCTTTCGTTACTTATTTTTGGTTGGCACAAGTTCGCGCATTAAACCTTTATTTTGAGTTCACTGTTCGCCTTCTCGTTGCCTTAATTCGTAACAATGTAAAGGCCAATCCACTGCACTCTGAATGTCTTCCCTGGTTTTGAACCGACTGTACATCCTGTAAATAAACAGTGTACTTTTCGAGAGAGATCGCCGCTCATTGTCGTTCCCGCTAACCTATAGCCCGGTGCCTGGCTCGAGCCCCTCCACCACCACGGACACCGCTCAGTCTCAACAGCACTCTCGGAAGAGGGAGGACCCAAATACTTCTTTTGAATTAGACAGCGCGTCTCCAGCACGAAGTGACGCTGTTACGTTTTTGCGCCTTGCCGCGTGAGAGGGCTGCCGCCGACGCGCCGAAATACCGGATCCCTCAAGACATCAGAGACGGCTGCCTACGCAGTCGGAACAAGTTTACAGGACAATAGATGGCGGCAGCCTCTCATCCCAATCAAAGGAGAAAACCTCGAGGCTTTGTGGGTCCAGCCGTTCCAACTTTGCAATGCCTATCGGGGCCTAGGCCAATGAATTTTCTTGGAGTAATTTGTATTCCCCAGTAAAGTATTTGCTGAATCCATGGAAACTTCCATTTAAAGCACATTCCTGACACACCTCACTTTGAAGTAAACTTAACGGTGTCTCGATCAATCAGGTAATCCGGTGAGCTTATGCGTTTCCTCTGAGCACATGAAAGGCATTCAAAACTACCTTAAGCTCTCCGTAAATGCCGCGTCTCATTAGAGCGACAAACAATAACAGCGGACAACGACAAGCGTGAACAAGCGACAAGCGACACCGACAGACAACCTGCTTGTCGTGATTTGTCAGAGTCCGCCGTCCCTCCTGGCGGACCTCATACGAAAGAGCGAGGAACGAAACTGTCTCCGCAGTGGGACAGATATCGGCAACAATACACGGCGAAATATACAGACAAAAAATGTTTTTTTTTTAGTAGAAAGGTTTTTAATAAACACTTCCTGTCAATATTTATAGTTGTCGCTTACTTCCGTCATGACCGCCACCAAACTTTTTCCGAAACCCGAATTCCCGAATGGTTCCTTGTTTGAACCGTTTGATGCGATAGAGGTCCTGTGATGAGCGTCTCGGAGTTTCACTCCGATTTCGAGAATCGAGGGTAGGTGTTTTTGTTGGATATACGTCATCCAGACGATCACGGAGCCAGATGACAAGTCTCTTGCCTGCAGGAATAGCGGTATAGCTTGCCGGAACATCGTGTCCTATCATCGTGGTGAGCCGTCTTACTTTGTTCATTCCTCAAACGTCGGCGTATCTTTTTGGATGCTGGGACGTGGGCCTCGGCGCTTTTAAGTTTGAAGCGCTACCTTGCATACCAGGTTTTTACGAGCAGAACCAGTCAAAGCAAGTTCTCTTTCACGAAATGACTACCAGCGTGCGAGCCTCGAACACTGTCATCGAGGAACGGGAACTGCGGGAGCAATCAGTGACGGCCAAAGCCTTCTGTGAAAGCCGAGTGGTCCAGCGACACATGAGAAGAGTGGAAGGAAGGGTAGAAGGGGGTGTGATGAAAGACAAAAGAATGTATCATGGTGTAATACGCCAAAACAACAGGGACAAAAAACGAAGGGAGAACTAGACAGGACGCGGCGTAACTTTCAACTGAATTGTTTATTTGGATGACAGAATTAAAAAAAAATAAAATATAAAAGCAGGCCTGTTGTCTTGCCTTACATTCACAGGATGTCCCACAATCTGAAGAAGGTGGCCCATCGCTTTGACATACCAGTCGTTTTTTCAGCACCGAATAAATTATCTTCACTGTGCAAAAGGATAAGGAGATTAGGAGAGGAATCGGATGTGAAACAAGAGTCGTGCAAAAAACGACATGTCACTAAGTTCCGCGAGTGCGCCACTAGTGTCACGTACAAAATCCCCCTGTAAGGTGTACGTTGGCCAGACGGGGAGGTGCATTAATGATAGGGTCAGAGAGCATGCATTGGCGATCAGGCAGTTCCACGGTGACCGTTGCGATTGCGGGCCCAACTCTGAAAAGTGCAGCCCCATCTTTGGTGACACCTGTGTCACGGGCCGTTACAAAACAAAAATGGCAAGAGAAATTCAGGAAGCCTTCCTGATTAGGTCCCACCACGACAATACTTGTTGTTGACTGATAAAGAATTCTACTATTTGAAGAACCAATGACGCTGGCATTTGAGGGGGGGGGGGGGGGTGTTTTTAGACCATATCGTTGGTGTTCTGCCAAGTGTGCCTGCTTTTATATTTTATTTTTTTTTTTTAAATTCTGTCATCCAAATAAACATTTCAGTTGAAAGTTACGGCGCGTCCCGTCTAGTTCTCCCTTCGTTTTTTGTCCCTGTTGTTTTGGCGTATTACACCATGATGCAAAACCAACTAGCCCAACTAGCCATCCTTATCCAAAAGACTGTACTAGCGGGCGAGAGGATAAGTTCGTCTCTGAGAGATGTTTCTCGGTGGGACTGCTCGCGGCGCTTCAAGTCGAACGACAACAAAAACTTATCCTTCGTCGATCGTTTGTCGGCGCTTGCGGGCGTTTGTCGGGGATCTTTGTCGTTACAGTAAGGCAGCATTAGTACACGAAACTTGGTGGTGTCACCGGACGAAAATCGGTGTTTTTCACTGTAGTGGGACAATGCTTACCCTATTGAAAAAGTCATTTATATGATAAATGTTTGGTGTCCTATAAAGACATATAGATCATACAAAATATATAATAATATATAAGAACCGTGTAAGAACTACATGATAACTATATAAGATATATAGGAACATATATGAACCCTATAAGAATCTTATAAGAGGCTTCTCACAAGTTTCTGATATGGTCCTTATACGTCGTTATTAATTTGACGTAGTTCTTATATGGTTCTCATATGTTCCTATATATCTCTAATGATTCAAAAGTTTATCATACAAACGAGGTTTTTTAGTAGGGTAACCAACCATAATTAACTATATTGCAGATATATGGCAGACACGGCACCCTCTGTACTTACCGGGTTTAGGAGAATGATGACATCGCGAAGAGCATTTGCCTCTTCGTGACGTCAGGAGTTGTTATTTATGGTTACCTATAATCAGTCGCAAAAAAACAAGTTCCATGATATGTTCAAAAAGGGGGGTAAAATCTTGGAGACATCCAATTTTGAAAACTAATCCCTGAAACTTGACAGCCTGACATTAAGCTTGTTTTCCTCAACAAAAGCCGACCATAATCAAACTAAAGACTTCATAGTGAGTGTTTACCAAAGCGTGGACGGCCGATCACTTCGACGCTTTGGTCGAGCACGCCGCCAGTACGGGCGTAAAAAGAGCGTATCTTAATTCCCCCTACCAATGCATGACAGCTGTTCCCAAATTGCTTTAGTTTGAAAGAATAAAAACACGAAGGAAAAGGACAAAGGACCACTCCCTTCCTGCTTTTCAGAGCGACACCGTGTTCAGCGCGCGACTGCACAGCCTGCTCCTGAGCCACGTCGGTGGCGCCCTCTGTGGCGCTGCCATGGGCATGGCGGCCATACGGTCCCTCCGGCTGGCGCCACAGAGCCAGAGCAGCAACACCGTCCTCCTCATCCTCCTCACCTATCTCACCTTTTGCCTACTCGAGGTTGCGGGCGCTTCAGGCGTCGATGGCGTGGTGGTCTTCACGCTCGTCACCAACGCGCATCGCCGGGTGGCCTGTACCGAGCTCGAGGGCCTGCTGCACAAGTACTGGTCCGCCATCTACAACCTGGTGGGCCTCGTGTCTCTCTTCATGTCCTCGCTGTGCTTGGGCGAGCTCCTGCTCATCTTTTTCGAGATGGAGCAACTGCAGAGCGCGCTCCTGTCGTACTGCGTGCGGACGGGGGCGCGCATCTTCTCCCTGGTCGCACTTTTTCCCATCATCGAGCAGATCGGGTATCCGGTGTCCTGGCGCCAGGCCGTTATCACTGTCTGGATGGGTCTCAAGGGTCCGCTCAACATCACCGTAGCGTCCTACTACTACCACGCCGAGGCAAGCAGGAACGTCGACTTTGTCTCTAAGGTGCGTTTTACTTGGCGATTTTGTCCAAGGAATGACAGTGGAGGGGCAGTGGAGTAACCATTTGTTTGTATATTTCGTGTTTTGCTTTCAGTCACACAACTACAAAGTTTGTTCTTATCTGTTTTCTTTATTTATGATGCGCCCCACAAGCAGCTGAACGCTTTTTTTAGGTATATAATTTATTCGGACCGCTAGTCAGTGATTGTCAAATTATTCTTAGCTGGTTCATCTCTACTGCCTCGCTTCTTCCTCCCGCTAAGTAGAGCAAAAGCAAAAAAGCAACTAATCATATTAAAGCCATGCAGTTTATCGTGCTCTCATCGTCCACAACACTTATTTTTAACATCTCTCAAGAAATGCCTGTCTTTTTGTGCGTTAGGAGGGGTTCCACCTGTTTTGGAGGACTCCCCTAGCTCGCTTGTGCCAAGCATGCCGCACTATGCTATATATAAAAAAGAAATGATGTCCTCGTTCATGCACAAATTATATATACCTGTGAACTTTTAACTGCTTTGAAAGTTCTATACTGACAAAACAAAAACCCGTCAGTCAATTGGTTTCTAGAACACCAGAATAATTATAAAATATAATCTCGGCAAATATATTTTGCAGAGAAGTCACGGGCATATTTTGGGGGCGCTTTTATGCGTTTTATTTTTCAATATATATCCTCATGCTTAAAAAAAAAAAAAAAGAATCCAGGAGCTAGATTTTGGGAGACTATGATAATGCAATTAATGCAAAGGTGCAAGCGAGCTGAACAAAATATCTATCATAATCCCTGGGAGACAGAGGACAAACACAAATCTCCAAACATAGCTAGGTGACTGGTACGCGACTGAAAAAAATTTGCCAGGTCCTGGTATCGAACCAGGGACCTCTCCATTTCCAGTGGAGAATTATATAACTATGGTTTTTCAAGAATTCAAGGGAATGTCTTGTGAGTGCTTTTATACGTCTTATTTTTCATTATAATCTTAAGATGCATTATCATCATAACCTTAAAATGCAGGCCGATCACCCGTGTTGGTTTTAGACTGGTGACAGCTTATAAAACCTATTTTCTCTACTGACGTCTAACTCCCGGTTAGCTCAATTGGTAGAGCTCTCCACTGGAAATGGAGAGGTCCATGTGTAAATAATAGGACCGGGCGGATTTGTTCAGTCACGCACCAGTAACCTAACTTTGTTTTGGGATTTTTGTTTTTCCTTTGTACCCCTTGTTCCCCTTCTCGAAAGATTATTAGCGTAGATCTTAGAGGAGTTTTTACTGCATTGCTAGAAACAAGACCCTGAGGACAAAAGGGAACAGACAACTCTAATCTCATCTGAGTGTGTATCCACACTTCAAGGGACAATCGCAGCGATACGTTCCAATGATCCAACAAGTCGCCTCGCTTTTGGTCTGGAATTGCCCTGTGGCATTGGGGCCTTTTCTTACTATAGAAGGACAAATAATCGGTGTCCATTGATATAACAAAGGCTGTTTATTGGCAGCCCGAGTAATATTCATCAGTATAACTTGTTCACTAACATGCACTTTCGTGATAACTTCTTGGCGAGGAGTACCGGTCAAGTCTTGACTTTATGAAACTAGTGTATTTTTTGCCTCTTCAACGCTTGAACACGAGAACGGCGGTACTGTGTAGTGCCAACAAATATAGCAGCCGCTCTCCGAGCCAGTGCGATGCGCGGTAAAGGGCAGAGAGTGCTGTTCTAGATTTATACAGCACCTTTGCGCCGCGCGGTGCTTACGGGAACCTGCCTTCTGGCGTTGGCATTGCGTCGCTGTCGGAGCTATGAGATTTACTATCCAAATCTGGCAGCTTATTTCACTCAGACAGAATCTGTTTTGAATATGAAAGATCTCCGGCTTATCTGATTTCTTTTTCAGACACTCCTGCACGTCGCCTGCGACATTCTCCTTTCCCAGCTGATAAATCTCACGCTTCTCGAGTTTGTGTTCAGGTTATTTGGTAAGGCTCCCGGCTTTACTCCCGGGACGATCGATTAAAACTTCATTGTTTCGGTTCGGATAGTTATCGTATCGGTGTATGGTAATCATACACACATAACGATTTTTTTTTATTTCCCTATGTGAGTAATGCATTTCTATTTGAAACTGACCAATTAAAATGCTTCAATGCGGATTAGTGGTACAGATCGATAAATAATTAAACGAACACGCAAACAAATGAGTAATTATATATTAAACTAATATATAAACAAATAACAAAAATGAACAGATAAATATAATAATTGAATGAATGAATGGATAAATAAATAAATAACTAGACGTATCATAAATAAATAAAAAGGATTAAATAAATAAATAAATTTATAATAATTAAATAAAGTCTCCAATCAGTTAAGACGTGAGCGCAATTGCTTAAGAAAACTGGTCGATGTACGACAAGCGTCTCGACAACTCTGGTAATTGCGTGTTTTATTAGTAGTGGGGTGATTTCAGATAAGATCGAACAGGGGGTGGCTGGTCGACCTTTTTAATTTCCTTCATAATTTTATATGATATTTCCCGATGTCCAAAATGAACAAAATCAGAATTATTTTCACCTAGAGAAGAAATTGTCGGACGCAAAAAATCGTACATCACGTAGAAGTGGAATGTCGCATTTGCTTGCATAGCCGGAGGGTGCAACTTTGGTGATTGATAACTGAAGTTATACTTCTTAGGTGAGTTTCATAATGTCTTAGCACAATATATATGTACTTAGCAATACAAGAACCAATATCGTTAGTGTTTAGTATGTTTTAAAAAATAAATAAAAAAACATCAATTTCGGCTTCTTGACCGTTTTTCCTCCAACTTTGCAGGCCTGTATCTTAGGTAATAATTTAGTCAGAAACGTCATATTTTAAGTAAATACACTACTTATAAATGGAAGTACATTCACTGAAATTCCAATTTATTTAAGCGCGGGTTGAAGATATTTTGGCAAGCAAACACGAGACTTGCACCAAAATAAAAATATTTTAAGGGCGATTAAAAAAAAAATCTCGTTCTCGATTTTTTTAAAACTCTGATCAGTCATTTTACTCTATTTGGGGGTAAATATCGATTAAAAACATGTTGCATTATATTGGTCGTGTAATAAATACAGCACCTTTACCGAGCCCCTTCCGCGAAGCTCGGCACGGTGTATCCCTCTGGTGCGACGCAGTTATTGCGACTTCGGCCTTTGCTCCCCCCCGCTCCACACACAAAAAAAAGAAAAGAGGATGGATTAAAACACTTTGTAGAACGCTGAGTTGCGCTGCGTCCGATTATGGGAAAATAAACCGTGGGAGAGGGGGAAACGAGTTCGCGGTCTCGCAAGCACGCCGAGCTCTAACTGGAATAATTAAGAAGTAGAAGCACAGCTGCACTCTGTCTCATTTTAAGCGCAAGCGAGGCCGAAGCTACAAGCGTGAGCATGTGGCCCTGAACAGTGCTTACACTGTATGAGCGCGCGTGTTTGGCCGGAACGTTGAAAGCCCGGACCTCGCTCTTGTATACTTCGTCTCACCTTAGCATGGACTATTGTTTGCCGCGCATGCTAAAAGCGCAAGCTAGTTGCTTTGGATGAAACCGTGGCGGGTGCACGAGCGCTCGTGCAGCGAGTGCTCCAGTCAAGGCAGTCAAGGCTAGCCGCTCGCGCTTGCACGGCTTTCGCAGTTAGTCCACGCAAAGGTGAGACAAAGTATAGTTGCTGCCACGCTCTCACTTAATAAAGTGAAACGTGATATTAGCGGCAAGATGTTTCGGTGGCGCCCTCGTTTGGTTACCTTTCTTGACGTCATTACCTGGTGAACAACAAGTTCGATGGTGTTTGTAATGGGCATGGTGGAATCCTGAAATCATAGCGCTCTCAAAGCAATACTACACTCTAAAACCGGTCCCTCATAAAAAACGCTGTCCCTCTGATTTTAGAGGGGACAACAATGCTTTCAGGGGGACAGCCCTTTTTAAGAGGGAAATTGAAAAATAAAATAGCAACATCTAGAGGGACACCAACATATTAAGAGAGACCAAGGAAACCGTTTCGTTAGTCCCTCTGAACAGGAAAGACAGACAAAAAGATTCACGCGTGTCCCTTCATATTAAGAGGGGACCGGTCCCTCTTAACTGGACCAATGTAGTTCGGTCAGGAGGAGGGGGGCAGGCGCACGAATCCACGGCAATGAGTTCAGACGGTGCTAAGGCTTCGCGCCAATTCACGGAGAGCTGGAAACGGTCGTTGCCGGAGAGTCGCAAGCGTCATGCTGCTCGTTTGACTTCCTTCGGGTGAGTAATCCTGTCATAATGGCGCTTTTGTTTTGGGTGCATTGCGGGTGGGAATAACGAGCCATCAATATTTTCACGCTGGCTGTGAGATGCACGAGCTTTGCATGTAGAGTGAGAGTGTTCAGCTGTAGTCCGCGGGCGCGGTCGCTTCCTGGATCTGCTCGTTCAGCTAGGACAAAGCGTCGCTAATCGTTTGCCCTGCCGTGAGCCGCAGGGCTCTCTTTCGCACAAAACACTTTTAGCGGGTTAGGGTGTCCCAATGTGTACGCGTCTGTCTTAAGTTGGTGATATCAGACCATTTTCTGTCCGACGCTTTTGTCCTAGCTGAACGCGCGATCGTTCTTCTCCCAGCTCGAGCTGCTAACTTTGGCAGTGCTACGCCGGCATTTTATTACCGGCAATTTCCTGGTATTTTATCCGTGAGCGTACACTGTCGGCATCGAGTACTACAAAGGATGGCATCACCCTCCCTAAGGCAAAGCCAACATAAAGGCACCCTAGCTGGGGCAGTCAGTGTTTGTAAGCTTGGCTCGCCGATTTCTTTCTCGGTGTGCACTCTAAATGCTTGAGGTTGACCGCCCGAGAGCGTTGATTGACAGAAAGAATGTTGGCGATTTTGCGTTTGTTTGCCTTCACAATTCATTACAGCAATTTACACTGCAACGTTATGTTGTAGACATCGTTAGCGTTTCAGTGATTATGAACATTTTTTTCTCAAGTGGGCGGCGAGTAAAAACCCATAATGTGTGTGTATGTTTGTGAAAAGGGCAGGGGGATTGGACGAGCAGAAAACAAAAAGAAGAAATAAAGGTTTTTTTTTCTTAGCGTGTTCGCGTTGCGTCGGCGTCGCGGCGTCTGGGGGAAGGGTGTAGCGGCGGCCAGGGAGTACATTTTTTTTTTTTTTGTATTCCTTTGGCGTACTGTTTTGTTCGTTATATTTTGACGGTCGTGCCGACACAGCTACCGGCTTTTTTTTTTTTTTTTTTTTGCGCCGACCATGTTTTTGTTTTTGGAGATTTTATTTATGATGTTTATTATGCTCTTTGTTTTCTGTAGCTGGCTGAATATTTTTTTTTCTGTGTCGTGCATCCGCGAAAAATATATAAACAGAAGTTTGCTTTTTTTTTTCTTTTCTTTCTTATGCGCTTTAGGGCTGGTGCGCTGACTGTGGGCGTTAAATGACTGACCGTTATTAACAATCTTGTTTTCAGAGTGAGGCAATGGCAACGAACGTTGACATGAAGGGAATCAGGCGGGGGTTCCGCTCGGATTGCTCGTCTAAAGAGCTCTACCGGGACCCTCTGCACGGTGGAACGCACCACCCTGAGTGGTGAGCCTACTGCGGCCACCCGCACACGGTTCACAACGAACTCGGTAATTATTAACTTTTTGTATTCCGGTATGTAGGTAGGCTCTATTTACGTTCTGTTGGCATATGCACTGCTTCTGAAAAAAAAAAAAAAAAAAAAAAATGAATGGCTTGCGGCGAAATATTTACAGAAATGTAATTTTTTATTTGATTATGTTGCTTTCTAAAACATGCGCTAGATCACTTCTGCAGCTTCGAGCCGCAAATGCAATCCATGCTTTCCAAAGCACATGGGGCTTCTAAAGTTCATCTACTACTAAATGCGTTTTCGTTTTGTCTTGGTAATACAGAAACAATTGATTCTCGTAAATTAATTAAAACTGCAGTCTATTCTCGTACCAAAAATTAATAGTAGCAGAAGTTGCGTCATAAGCTAATGTCACTCGCTATTTCATCGCATACAGATTGGGTTCCGAATCTTTGAACTGTTTGCACTTTATTTTCGCATTTGTTTCCTATCGCCTGCTTGATAACAGGTGAAAGCGCTTCATTACCTTTATTCTAATTCCCACCCTCTGTATCTAAAGGAAAACAATATGGTCTTTCATTCAGCTAAAGGTGGATGCACAACTTCGGTTCCATAACACGATCGTCACCATGCTGGGAAACCTGGAGGAGGTAAAAGGGGCCTTCTGCGGAGACAACCCAACAACATTCTTGAACATTAAGACCATCCTCCGGTCTCGATTGGCCAGAAGTTCTTTCATCACCTATGGTATGTGAAAAAGCGAATGCAAAAATAGAAATCTAAGTTTAACGCTGACGCAATTTTTTTTTTTTTTTTTTTAAGAATTGTTGCTTGCAGGACGATTTTACCCCTGACGAAAAAGTTCCAAGACCCAAGACTTTCTTCGGTTCGGAGAAAGGGATCGTTTCTGGGAACTGGTCAGTGAAACTCACCGCTAGCACGACTATGGAGGGGGCACTAGTCATGTGCTTATCGGTGTATTACATAACGGGACTTTCCTACCCCGTGGCATGTGGACAAACCCTTGGACTCCTCTAGGGTCTGCTCGTTGAAAATAAAGTGTTTCGATTCAGTTTGTGTCGGAGAAGCTCATAAAATCGCTTATGGCCGTTCAAAAACAACAGATATTCTGAGCTTCTGCTGATGGCAAGAGACGCCGAATAATTAGTTTTTAATGCTATGAAGTGGGTAAGTACGCTCTAAAAGAAAGCACAGGAATCTACTTTCCCGAGCCAGCACTTGGAAAGTCAATCACCGTAACTCACGGAAGCAGCTCAGCGAATCACGATGCCGAAACACAAGATTAGACCAAAAAAGCCAGTCCGAGTTGTGACATTAACCAATGCAAAACATCACGCTTGTTGTGCTTAATGTCGCAACTCATTTTTTTGGCATAATCATATGTTTCGGCATCTACATTCGCTGAGCTGCCTCCGAGAGTTACGGTGATTGTCTTTCCAAGTGTTGTGCGGGAAAGTAGACGCACGGGCTTTTTTTTAGAATGTACTTTTCTTTTTGTGTTATCCGCTAAACAATTTTTTTTTTCAGCACGATTGTATTGTTGTTGTTTATGATAGGCAAAATGAGTCACTCTGCAGCACGAAATTTTTTGTGTGATAGCTTCCAAGAAACGCCGATTTCTGGCGTCGTTCTAAGTCTTTTTTTATTCGTAAAAGCTACCAGAACATCGTTATAGAATTATTATTTTGATGAAGACATATCAAAATATTTTCTTGTGTCATGGCAAATAAAACAGTGTTTACTCTTAAAGATTGTTACTGTTTTCTTTAACACATTGATTCCGTTTATCAACAAGATATACAGATCAAATTTCAATTCTGCTACGCAGCACAGAATAACTTTGGTTAAACCATATCAGCAAAAGTGCGAGAAGTGCAGTGCAGCATGTCACCTGACACTCAAAACACGAAGGAGCAGAAATTGTACGATACAATAACAGAGGTAACTTAAAGCCGGGGTCACGCTGCTTATACATCATACAAAATACATTCTGCAGACATGTTTCAATGCGAGTCACCGCGACATCCGTGCTTTGTATGCCACGTGACAAAGTAACCTCTTGATTGGTTACCTCGTGGCGTACGAAGCGCGGATGTCGAGGCGACTCGTTTCGGAACATGTCTGCAGAATATATTTTGTATGAAGTATAAGCAGCGTGACCCCGACTTAAGGGGGACTATGCCCCTGCATTTTAAGCGGGCCACCGTCCCTCCGAATTTAAGGAAGAAAATATCTAAAAACTGGTCCTCTTAATTAAGGGACTCTGACCTCAAATTTAAGGGAGACGCCGCCTCGCTTACTTTAAGAGGGGTGGTGTCTCACTTAATTAAGAGGGAGCATCTCCATGTAATATTAAGAGGTCTGTCGCCCCCCTTAAAGTTAAGTGGGAAAAAATCGAAGAAATGTCCCTCTTACTAAGTGGGACCGGGCTTAGAGTGTACCAACACCATCAAAATTGAAGTTCTTACATTCCTCTTACATCCGTCGATGAGACATCCTTTTCTGACGTCATAGACCGCATTCGGTCAATTGCTGTGGGCAGACCCCAGCGACGCTTTCGATCGGTCACGTCGCCAATAAGGGGTATACACTGGGCGCCATATTTGAGGGCGATGTTTAGAGCGCATGCTCAGAACGAGGTCCCATTAATAGCCTGCTAAGACCGGCAGTCTTGATGGTGCGCAATGCACGTTGCGAAAGAACTGCGGAAGCTCGCCGTGAGCACGCACTCAGCACTCAGCAGCCAAGCACAGAGATATGGCCGCCAGTGAATACTCCCTATAGCTACGCTTGTCTAAACTGCACTCGTCAAACGCGCTAGGACGCGGAACGCCGGCATCTGGTGTTCGCGTTCGGACACGCTCTGCGAGCGCAGTGGAGACAAAGCAGCTAGCGTTTTCTGTCTGTGCCCACCAATTATCCCATTAAAAGCTCGGCATTCTGGCGTCCCTCCTCGCTCTCGTTTCCTCCTCTCCCTTCGTTTTTTTCCGCATAAGCACGGAAAACCCGTTTTCTTTTGAATATTTTCCAGGCCGTGAGCTTTTTCTCTGAAAAACTGTTTGTGTAATAAAGTTAATTCTTGATTACCCGATTACCCATTTCAGATGAGCAATCTGATTTTAGGTTTAAACCGGAAGGAACGACGGATTCTTGAGTTGGTGTTGCGTGTTCTCCAAACTCAAGAAATTTCTAGCGAACTGTGAGGCGAGCGTGTTTTGTGCATTTCGCCTGCACTATCTGCGCGGTGTGACGCAAGAAGAGTGCGACATAGACAAACAGTACGCGAGTCTTGTCATCTTTAATTCAGTGATCTTATGGACGCCTCCGTTTCCTCCCAAAATCGTCCATAATGTGAGTTGTTCATACGAACGAGAACAAAATGCATGTATTTTCCCAGTTTGTCCACAAAAATGGTGTCGATATAGCGGGGTATCCATATTAAAAGAGTCCACATTAACGAGACGTGGCTGTATCCTCCTCATAACAATACAAAAAAAAAAACAAAAAAACAACAACATAAATCATACCACGATTTATTTCAAACTTTTTGTCTTGCCCTGTGCGCGCTACCTCCGTTTCCATCCATATTGCACCAAGGATCATTCATGGTTCTAGGGAAAATAGGAGGATACGGTGCCCACTTAATCTTAAGCGCCTTTCAAAGACAATTCAGTTTCTAGCAGATTGAATTATCTCTTGCAAATTAAACAAAACTCAGAAAATAGTTTTCCCACAAAAATACAATGCTGCAATCACTACCCAATGGACAAGGTGCATTGGGCATTAGGCGCCTTTTTAGCTTAGATTCATATTTCAAAGATGGCACCAACAAATGGTTTTCTTCTGTGACTTCATGAAACTGTGAGTTCGAGATAAGACGCCATTTGTTTTTGTTCTCTGTTAGCAGCGCGCTTTCAAAAATGGCGCCTACAAAAAAAAAAAATGCTCTACTTAATGACCAGTGCGCCTCGGCGGACGTTTTCTTTTTTGTTTTCTTTTTTGTGGGGGAGGGGGTGGGGAGTGGACTTTTGCAGCTCTCACGTTGAAACCTTAGGTAATTGCTCTTTCCATGACCGTGCAACACCGAAGACGCAGCGTACTCATGCCCATATAATTGTGACAACAGGCGGGCTCCAGGTGTCCGAGATCGAGCGGCGGACCATGTCCAGTGCGGTGACGTACCTGCGCGACCAGGTGTCCGTGGCCAGCTGGTTTCAGCGGACAGACTCGCAATTCCTCCGCGTCGACTGGAAATGGGTCGCCAGGCACACCCTCATCGAAAACCCATTCGCACGCCCCCGAACTCCCTGGGTACGTCAGCTCTGCACTGAACTGCCGTCTGTTGCAGGTTAAGAAACCGGGGCAGGCTCTTTCTTCGAAACACTTCACTCTTTTCAGTTCAGCAAAGCGAACCCTTGAGTGAAGACGAAGAGCGACTCGGCCCCCTTTTCAGTGATCGCTCTGCTAAAGAGGACTTAGTGAAGGGTTTTTTGAAAGGAAGTTGTCCAGCTTTTTATAACCTGCAACATATATAAAATATGGGTAGTGGCAAACGCAAGGCCGTTTTCATTGAGAGGCGCCGAAGTAAAAAAAAGGGATGGCTGGGCGTTGCGCTCCCGTCGATTCCTGGACCAGAATGGGCCTGCGATAGACCGATCTCAGCAGCCAGTTTGACTACGCCACCGCTGTCGCAATGCATCGAGGGAACTTTAGTCCTTCTGTACGTGCGACAACCACCCTGGGACTCTGCGCGTGTAGATCACGAGACGGCACGAGCCCTTTCGTGCACTGCCGTCTGACTCCTGTGAACTAAAGTTATGGCGTCGTCGAGCATGCTTCGAACGCTTGGTGATATCGGTCTATTGGTGGCTGTTTTTTTCTGCCCACCCCCTGAAAAAGAAACAAAAAGCGAGAGCGTGCGTCGCGCTGATCGCCGAGTGTCCAGGAGTTGTCTATGCCAGCAACGCCTCACCATGGATCCCCTTTTCTAGCCTGAGACATATTACCCCGCATTCTCCTCTACTCTCACTTTTAGAACACTGTAGCCAGCTACAGTCAATGAGCGTTCACTGACCTCATCAGCAGGGCGTTTTGTTAGAGGGACCAGAGTTGTTTCAAAGAGGGAAGTTGCGTCAGGCTTCTTTTAGCACTCGGGCTAAGTTACGGGGAATAGGATCATTTGAAAAAAAGGTGATATTGATTAATTAGTTATTTAATAAATAAAATTTTTCAACCATATTTTAAAAATATTTCGTGGTAAAATGTCGTTAGAGAATGTTTTATTCTCTATTATTTACTCAATGGCAACATGCAGCCGCTGCATTAGGTATTATAAAAATAGGCTAACAAACGAGAAAAGAAAAAACGTTTCCGCATTTTCGGCACAAGGAATCTCACTATACTGCTTGTCATTAGTTCTGTGCAGAACAAGCAAAGTAAACGCGCGGCGAGGGGAGAAAGTAAAACCACTAGAAAGGCTGGAGAGAAGGAACGAAACCCCTTCTCCTCTTTAACGACCCTTGTGCTCCCCCTTTCTTCCCTCGCCTTCCATTGCCCTCCTCCCCGTCCCGCCTTCCTAGTGCATGATCTTTCTGTCTTCGTCTGGCATGGCCTAATTGCTTGCGTTGCGCACAACTATAGTTACACGGAATATAGGCAGAGCACTCCATTCCTTAATAGTTTAATAGTCTAAAAAAAGTCTTACCGAATTTCGTTTTGGTACGAAACTCACTCATTTTGTGAATGTGGTCTTTACGTTGTGAAATATAATTTGGAGGTAAAAGGGATAAACAACTTGATGCCAGTGTTTTTCTGATAGATATCATATAATAACTTGAAACGGGCACTTTTTCGCCCTAATGCCAAGAAATTCCATCCTAGCTCTTTTACCATAGCAGTGACACTTGCATAACGGTCATACCGTCCCAGGACAAAGCGAGCAGCACGGATTTATAATTTGTCTAGATATTAAATGAGGTTTCTTTCGGAAGGGTCCTAGACAGTACAGGTAGGCTCGAACAGTAGGCTCACATAGGCAATACATGCAATCTTTTTTTATAGATTTGCGTAATTTTTTAGTTTCGACGCAGAAATCCAAGTGCTCGATCGTCCGGCCCTCAAAACAACACCGTCGGTATGTAGCGTTCTAGGTGCAATCAGATGAAAACGTGATACCTAGATATTTCAATGTTTGTTATTTTGGTGCAGCTTTATTGTTCAATTGTTATTGAGTTTCAATGTTGTTTAATTTTTTGGAGTAAAACTAACATGAACAAATTTCTTCACGTTGTGATCATCTTCCACTCAGGGCGCCACTGAGTAACTCCATTGAAGTCATCATGCAACTGTGTGGAACTCTCCTCTTTTGTTACATATCTGGAAATGACAAAATCATCGGTAGACAATCGTACCTTTGAGCTCAGTTCGCCGTAAATATCATTGACAGACATTAATCATAACAAAGGCCCCAATACAGAGCCTTGCGAAACACCAGATGTAACGGCAACGAAATTAGATGTTGCACCGTTTAGGACGACAAATCACTGACGAAACTAGAAACTATCATTTTATCTCCTTTAAGGTAGCAGTGTTTATCTTTAAAAATTCAAACTTTTATAATCTCAGTGATAATCTCAGTGAGTGTGCTTTAGTGTCGAACGCTTTCTTAAAGCCTTAAAATACACAGCCAATCTGTCCACCCACATCAAGACTTGCATTTATATCACGATGCAGCTCTGTCAATTGCGTTACACACGAGTACCCCTTTCTAAAACCATGTTGGGACTAAAATAAACAAACACAAGTAAGCTGAGATGCTTCATGACTTGACGAAATAATGTATGCTCTAGTTATTTACAACATATTGGCGATAGGAAAATTGGTCTATGATTTGCTACATCGTTTTTAGGCCCATTTTTGTGTACAGGCACCGCTAGTGCTACTTTACAGTCGTCTGGTTAAAAAGCCGATAGTCAAGGATTTGTATATATTATAAAAGGGTAAAGGAAAATTGCGTCGGCGCAGCGTTTTAAAATTTTGGCCGAAATTTAATCTGTACGTAGTACTCTATACTCCACTCACCTTTAAGTTGATACTGCAGTCAATGCCAAAAAATTGGGTTGTGTGTGTGTTTATACAGCCTAGAACTTGGTCTGCCTCACAGGGGCGACGAGTCTCCCAGCTGTAGATGAGAAATTTAGCCAGTGCGGTACAGACGCTAGCCTGGGGTCTTTAACGTGCATCACGCAGTAGTGATACACGACCGCACGCCGGTACGATGCTCATCCAGATCGAAACGGGCAGGGGTGGGGCTCGAGCCCAGGATCCCTGGGTTCTGCAGCGCGAGCTTTCGCTCCACGTGCTCCGAGCTGGTGTGCGCTAGACCACTCGGCCACCGATCCCCCACAGTAGTCAATGCCACAAGCACAAGAGCTCGAGGTCGCTGCTTTGGAGCGTTCTTTCACAGGACGAGCACTCGCGCTAGAAATAAATGTTGCAAAGCCAGAGGCGCGGGCTAGTTCGCCCTTTTAGCTTTGCGTGCAGTTTTAGCTTAAAAGTGAACAAAGTACAGCTTCACCTACATTTTTTTAAGAGCCTTAGGAAACTTTGCGTGCCAAGTTCTACTGGCAGTATGTTACCATATGTACTCAAATTTATACCGTAGTTTTTGTTTTCATTTGGCGAAAATCTTACCGACGATATTAATTGAATAGATCGGCATTTTTTAGTCATAAGTAATTATTTTATCATTAACCATTACCTTCGCTATTTTCATTAAATCCTTACCCCAACGCCCGATAAAAAAAAAAAACAGTTTTTTCTCTACCAGTTGTAGGTAGTCTTCCTTGGCTTTCTGTACTACTATTTTATACACTGATGCCAGTTCTTTTAGTTTAGAAAGGTTTTATTCCAAGTTCACTTTTATACCGCGTGTACGTACACTTGCGCTTCGTGAACAACCGCAGAAGGTTACCAGTGATCCATGGTCTTTCTTAGTTTTTCTAATTTCGACTAGTTTATACTTGGAACGTATTTATCTGTAGACTGACAACGTTTTGTTTAAATATTAACCATGCGTTATTCACAGTTATCTCCTCAGCAAAGCATTCAACCGATAAAAAAATGATTACGAAGTGCGGAAGTAGTCTCTTAAGGCTTTTCATATATAAACACCCTTCTCATTGCTTATAATTTCTGACGGGAAAATCGAGAAATAAGCATTGCGATCAGTTGTACTAAAGTCACTGATGCTGGGAATGACATCAGTTAGTTTTACAACGCCTCTATAGTTAGAAAAAAAACAAGTCGAGCGTGGTAGATTTAAGCGTACGCACAAGAACATGCTGCGTAATGGCGAAGTTCTCCACCGCAATTTTGCAATCAAGATTTAGCCGACTCATTCTTCTGCATGTATGGATTTCATAATTAAAATCACCACAAAGGGCACAAAGCAGTCGACAGAAACCCTAGCAACCAGTGTGTAAAGGACCTCAGTGACAGGTTGTTCAAAGCTTGAGAACCTGAACCTCACACGACACGCTCGACCTCATAATATGTAGACGAGCTATGACGTGAAAGTGTTATAAAAAATGGTAGAGGGATTTAGTGGTCTATATATGCCATCATTGTACACGGCTTCGAACGAAAACTAAACACATGTCAACCAATTCCTCGTTTAAATTATACGGAAATTAAAGTAGTTAAAGGATCGTCTCCTCTGTAGTCGCTGTCAGCTTAAAGGGGCACTCAAGTGGTTTTTGGGGAAGCTACTTTTTGGTGCGATGGCGCTAAGGAAGCGTCAGTGAATGAGTATCTTCAGTTTTAGAACGCAGAACCGCCTATTAATCCCGCAGGAATAAAATACGTGTAGACTCCTTTCGGTTCCTGCGCCGACCAGTGAAATTATCGTATGTTTGAAAATTTTGGCGGCCTTTACAAAGTTCCGCAAAAGAAACAATTTTCAGTTCATTTAGATATGTTGTGCATGATAATTTCACAAGACGTAAAATAGTTCTAGTTTAGAATACGCGATACTGCAATTATCGTTTCACAAACAAGGGACTACGTTTTCTCCTTGCCTTCCTCCGCGGGGGGTGAATTTTCCGTTCCCTCGGGATGCGCGGAAGCGGACGTGTCATGAACTGCAAACATGGCGTCGGTGGTGATCGTCGACGTGGACGGCGTGGTGAAAGCTCATCGTTCCGCGTAAAAGCGCTGTCCTTGACTGTGAATTTTCGTCGTGTGTCGCTATGATAACCCAGCACGTACTAGAAAGGAAGATCCACCTACGCGTGCGGCAATGTCGTGGCGGCGCTCTCAAGACAGCAGAAACGCCCGTGCCGTCGTGTTTGTTTACTTCGACTACAGTGGTGCTTTCTAAGCGTTTGTGTCCTCGAACATCGCCCGAATGTCTTATTTGGCGCATTTCATGCGTGTGCTTAAGTTCAAGGTATTACTCTTGCGTACCGTATAAAGGATGCGAATTTATACGCATTTTCATCACCGGAAAAAAGTGAACAGTGTTAGCAATCCTGAACGCTCGCAACGTCTATCTGGTCACGAAATCATATTTCTATGTTGCTATATCGCTGCTTAGATCACATTGTCTTTTATAATCGTAGAAAAGGCGTGTGGCGATTTTTGTATTATTGGCAAAGTCGTGTATTAAAGTCATGTTCGTCCAAGACGGCGTACTGCATCCTTTTCTGTTCGTTTTTTTTTTTTTTTCATCCACTGTACCCTGCAAGCCTATTATGAAAAAAAAAATTAAAGCTTTAGGCTATAGAAATTTGTCTGTCTATATTCTGTTACGGCATTGAGTGGCAGTGCGTCCCCATTTTAGAGGCGCCGCTGAAACAGCTGACGGCGGCGTAGAAGCGGTCGCCGTGCTGACGACTCGCTACGCTTGTTGCAGTGGTTGCAGGTGCGCGCGGCGCAGAGCGGTCGTTCCGGTCGCTCCGGTTGCAACGGACGCAGTCGTAGGTAACGCGCTCGTTGCAGATGTCTGAACCAGTCTTCCCCTTCCTCCCGAGGCGAAAGTCAACGTGGCGACATCGTTTGACATCACGTACCAGAGGTTCGCTGCTATGCCAAACGCTGGTTTGGTTACGACTTGCCCCCACCGCAAATCGGAAAACACCCGAAAAGGTCTGCATTTCGTCGTCCTCGGAACCCGAACACGACTCCGAAGCGCTGCTATTGTCCACATCGCACGTTGGAGTGGCATCATAGGAAATCATGCCCAGGTCGGCTGTCCACCGAAGAATGTCAACCTCTAACGGCGCCAGGTCCTCGAGCGTAGAGAACTCCGCCATGATCGAAGCTCGAATGACAAAAAGGTTCGGCCGGTGCGGCTACCTCGGGATCATTGCGCGACGGAACGTCGTCCAACGCCATTGGCCCGAGATCGTTTTGATATGCGTGCGATGACCAATGAGAGTGGTTTCGTTTTCGGATGGATCCGAGGTCTGGCTGCCTTCAATTACATTTTTATTAAAGGAATAATCATCGTAGACTATATGTTTTGGTTTTTAGGGATACTTAGGGTGTCTAAATTCAGTTGTCATAATCAAAACACGAACTCAAAAACCACTTGAGTGCCCCTTTAAGAAACAAAGTTTGTGGCGAGCTCTAAGCATCTTGCCATTTATCTGTAGCGAATGAGACTGCTTCAACAGCCAATAAGGACGCAGAGGGAAAAGGATCACGAGGCAAGATGCGTGGACATTATAGAACACGTCTTGTAATTGTTAAGCCGTTAGTAGCTACATTTATTTAAGACGAAATCGTGTATTTGATGATATGCATTCTTTATTTGCGGGTTTCTCATCAATTCCAGGTCATCTCTAAGAGGAGACAGAGTGTTCAGCAGGACCAAATAAAGGCTGAACGTTCCGCTGTTGAAAACGTCCTGAGGATCGAGGAGGTAGGTTGCAACGGTCGTTCCACAGTTGTCAGCTGACGTATATGGGTTCACATTTTGTCTGTATTGTCTGTACCGTCCTCGCTATGTCGAAGCGACTTTGTTGTGCTTGCTGGTTTCATGTTACGACGCGGCGAATGGGGGCTTGATTAGTGTATGATCCGTTAAAGGAGCTATGCAACAATTTTTGTACTTTGCGCAAATACCGCTTAAAACGGATCCCTAACGTTAATGACCTATGAAACACGCGTTCGTTTTTCACCCCACGCAATAGAAGTCCCAGAAAAAAATTAAAGAAAAACGAGCAGCGTTCACCCCCTCAACTCGCAGCCAGAACAAGCGGCCACGTGATCTGGAGCCGATTATATGCCGCCAGTGTTGATCATAGCCACGCGCTGGGGTTGGCAAAGCGCAGGACACGCGCTGAGTTCCAGACATTGTTATTGCTCGGCTGTTGTCGTCGTTGCAGCAATTGGACACGGGTCACAACCCGAATGCTTCTCGAGCTAGCAATTGTCACGAGCCCAAGTCGAGTGCCCACGCAATGCTCGGGTCCAATCTATGAACCGCATTCAAATATCGTCACTTGGGTGTACTGCGATCCCCGAGTTACGTCATCAAATTTTGCAAAGGAGAGATTGAATGAAAATGATCGATTTTGTCCTTGAAATTACACCGCAACAAAGGAGTTTTTTGGCCAATGGCGTTGCGTGTGAGTATCCTTGAGTCCTAGGTGTGCCAGTAAGCTCGTGTAGAGCGAAAAACATTCCAATTGAATATCGTTGCCAAGGTCCTTTAAGCATGAGGGCCGGTTTGTTACAAGCAGGTTGTTTAAATTTGTACTTGCGTGAGAGACCACTGGCCAAGTTAATGGCACTTACGAAGAAAAAAATATCACGCGAAAATTACTATACCTGAGGCGATGTTGAGGCAGAACTCGACTCTGGGCCGCAAGAACTACCTGTTGATGTAGTTAGTGACTATTCGCGACTCCAACTAAAGCGGAGTGGTGGCTCCACTCGTTTTCCAAAATGGCGGTTATAGTGAGGGTCGGAGATGCGTGCCGCTGCTGAGCCTGTCTAGTGTTCCGGGTTCACCACTGAGCGACACAAATTAATTATGGTAAGACTAGGACGCTAGTATTACCATGCCCCCAATTAATAATGTAATACTAGGAAGCTAGTATTACCATGCCCATCGAAAAAGCGCAGGTCACCTCTTTATCGGGAAAATAAAAACGGTGTTTAGCGTAATACTTACTCCAGGAGGCACGTTTTAATTCTGGAGTGAAACCGAAACTAACCTCTATTTTTTATTTAATTTCTCGATATAGGTCTTAAGTTCGAATTCTTCCATAACTCAAGATATGTCTCGCATCGTAATTATTTAGTTAGAGAAGTTGTTTCCGGAAACTTTATATTGTGACATACATGTTCGATTCAGGCACTTCAAACTATTTAGGAGATTTCAGTGTCCCTTTAAAGACAGAGTCTTTCATGCACCTTAGAAGTAGAATATTGTAGTTGTTGAAAAAATCAGTGCTGATATTTGTGGGCTTTCGCCGCCTTTTCTCGCTCAGATAATCGACATGGGAAATAATAAACTGTGGGTCTTTTAATGGGTTTTAGGTATTTAGATGATTAATTGCTTAAAATTATTCCTAGCACAAGCATAACAGAATGAATCCAATTTTTACAATAAGGCCACAAAAATTAATAAACGCTGTTCTCACAACAACAATCCAAAGACGGAGTCTTAGTCAGAAAGCTGAAGTGTGTGTGTGTGTTTCTTATAGGCAACACGTGGCGGATAGGACTTTATATTGCATCCAGTGTTTGTGTGTTTGTCTATCCTGATAACGATGCACAGCGCTAATACTAAAACTCTCTAATAAGGTACGTTCCTATACCGGCTACAGCACTACGTTGGGACAGTGAAGAGTGTTGTTGGTGTTCGGAAATGACATTTCGCGAGCCACGATCGCACGCAGTTCCGCCGTGCCTGCTGAACAGGAGAATCGGAGGACCCTCAGTCGAGCGCTTTGCGTTTCCGCCGCGGGAGGGCGAGCAACGAGCTGGAGACGAGAATAGAATTTTTGTATTATACTCCTCGGACTACACGTATTTAAAAGGCGAAATTGTACGCGGTGTGGACTATATAGTTGAATTGAACCATGGTTAAAAGCGCTAAAAAAGACGTACCAGGAAAGTGACGCAGTCGGCACTGAGCAATATGAGGCCAGAGGTTGTACCATATGTACACAAAATGGCGCACAACCTCAAGAAGGTTGCGAACAGGTACGGAGTACCTCTCGTGTTTTCAGCGCCAAAGAAACTCGGACAACTTTGCCCTCGAATTACTAAAGAAATCAAGAACGAGCGAGGATGTTGCACGAAGCACGCCAGGCCGTACATCGAATGCGTCAGGGGGGTCGTGTATGAAATCCCCCTAACGTGTGGAAAATCTTACGTTGGACAAACGGGAAGATGCACGAATGACCGTTTAAGAGAGCACGCGCAAAATTTAAAGACAAATGACGGGACACATTTGCCCGCGCACTGTAGGGTCTGCAAATGCGAGCCACGCTTCGGTGATACCAAGATTCTCGGTAGAAGCAGAATTCAAAGGGCACGCGAACTGCAAGAGGCATCTTTTATCAAGAAGAGGGGACCCCAGCGCGTCAGCGACACGTCAATAGCATTGTATAACGCTGAGATTCGTTTTTTCGATAAATACATGTAAACGGTTTTATGCTCTTGTATCTCGCGCATGAGTAGCTTGGGTGACGATAAGTGTATCAGATATATATATATATATATATATGTACTTCCATCTTCCTTTCCCAATACAGTTGTGAGTAGCGCCCGTGTTTGTCTTCTTTCTTGTGTACGTCTTTTTTAGCGCTTTTAACCATGGTTCAATTCAGTCAACACCAACTAGCCCAACAAGTTCTTTTACAGACTATATAGTTGCGCACTATACAAAGTGTTTCGTTTTGAAGATCGTTCATTATGACGAGACGCAGAATATTTTGTAAATGACGGAGTATGTTAATAATGATTTCTATCTGTGCAGTTTGCTGTGCGCTTATGAATCAGGCATTTTTTAAGGTGTGCTGTATACCTGAATTTTTTACTGGCGGACTATGCATTGAATCCGGTCTATCTAGAAAGATTACTTTTTTGAGTAAAACTTTGCTTCTGCGGATTACACACAGGGTACGGACGGTTGTTAAACGATACGATATATGATTAGAGGAAGGGGAAAGTCCATAAACGTTAGAACTACTTTTTACTGTTAGGCATGATTTGGAGCTTTCGTGCCGTTTTGGTGAAAGTTGTCCATTGCGGACTTTCCTTTGAGAGATGCTGCGTAAAAATCGCTATCCTACAAGCTGCAAAAAAAATGCAACAACAGCGCAAAGTCTGAAAATTGTTTTATGAATTAAAATGTTTAAAAAGCGCTAACAAAACGAGAAAAAAAGAAAACACCAATACAACAAGACAGTTCCACTTAGACACACTTTCACCAGAGGAAACGTTTCTTGTGCGAAGTTCGTATCCAGATTTCGTGGTGTTTAGAGAGGGTGTCCGAATGACATCTCAGCTTTTTCTGTGGACGTTGCGGATGTTTATTATTCTTTCCTAATAACGAGTTACTTCAGGCTGTTTGGTATCAGATATACAAGACATGAGAGGTCGAAATTGAAAATTCTGCGGGCGTTAGCAACGAATTTTTTTAGAAATCTTCGTTTTGTTCTTTTTAGTCTACTGCTGTCAGTTACGATAAACGTTTTTTGGAGCGCAGCTCTTAGGCGGCCGTTTCCGGCTTGAGCGGCGTCGGCGTTGCCGTCGGTGTCGGCGGAACCGCGCAGTGCAGTGTGGGTAAATTTCCCCGCTAAATTTAGCGGAAAATTTTCTCTAAATGGGAGGCGACCAAGAGAGGAGGAGGGGCAAAACCTCCTATCCGTACCTTCCCCTCCTCCTCCTCAAGAGCTGCGCTCTAATTCGGCGTTACAGGAGATTGTAAGCGTCTTTCATTTTTTTTTCTTTTGTACAGAAATTCGATGTTCGTATTGGGTGGCCTGTTGCCCTGTTTCATATATATATATAATTTTTTTTGCGTCATTGAACAATCGAATTGCGCAAGGCCTTGGGGATTTGCACGTAGTAAAGGCGTTGCGTTATTTCGAGTACCATCTTTTAATTTTAGACTAAAATTCAGGTTTAGAAGAAGTTGGGAGTTTTTTTTAATTTGTTTAAAGATTCGTCAGGTGGACTTAAATTTACTTGGGAAATCACTGTGGACAACTGTATACAATTTTTTTTGCCTTATTTAGAGCGTGTCCAGTTGTCTTTGTGTCTATTTGTCCTCATTTTGTTCGCGCTTTTTAGACGTTTATTAATTATAGATCAACTAGCAGAAACCCAACTTTTAATGGATCATTTCAGGAAACTTTGTATTTATATTTAAAGTCAGATTTTGTGTTTTACAGTTTACGAGCTCTTGTTCATATACATTGAGTAGATGAATCTATAGCGACTCGTTATGTTTTTACTGGGTTACAGTAGGTGTCTAAATTGTTCTCTGAGTGCCGAAATACTAAAACCTAGATTCTGTGTTTTATTTTGAAAGAAAAGAAAGGTGTTCTTCGTGCTTTCTTGGCATCAGGTGAGCTACTCGAGACAATACCGACAGGGAATGATCCAGAAAAGCACCATGATGACTCTACTGGCTGCACTTCAATACCGATTCGACAAGAAAATGTGAGTTCCATGGTCCAATAACTCATGTCAGTGCTTAGAATTAAAATCTCTGTTTTATTGCGAAGCAAAATGTCTCTATAGGATTCAGCAGCTTTACAAAGTGTCCTCCCGATAACTTACGCACAAAAACATATGCGTAAGTTTTACCGCGACTTGAAAGGGGCGAGAGGTATCTGATGCGGGTGTCAAAATAATTTACTAAGATATATACCTTACCTTGAGAAAAGAAAAGGAGAAAAAAAAAAAGACATGGCATTGGCACCAGCACGGGGAGGTCATGACGTCAGCCACGTAGCCTTCACAAGCCATCCCCATCTGTCGCTCGCCTCTTCCTTATCCTCCTTGGCAATTTTCCTTTCATATACGAACGACACGAGACCACGAAATGGTTCAAGATTAGGTCTATGAACTGAGCGGCTCCAGACTCTACCCTGGTCCTGTTCACAAACCGCAGCAGCTGACTGTGCCTGCTTTCTTTCATTTGGTTGCGTAACAACAATAAATTCAAGCGTGATGCGGTTTTACACTCGGCTGCCATCAAGCAAGTGGGCACCAGCGTTCTAACCATGTGCGCGACTTTATTCAGCTTGATAACTGTGTTTTGCGTCGATAGAAATTTAAATACAAATTTTGGACAGCCTTATTTAATGAACGCCCGTGTGAAAGGTTTTGTGGATGCTCACACAACTTCCTGATACGTTTGGGAATGTCCTTAATGGGCAGGCATAACACGAATATTGAACCATGCAGTTGAGTTTGACTATGGAGTTTTTATAGTTTTAATAATATTTATCGTGACCAACGTTACACCAACTCAATGTGACTTGGCAGGGGTACATATATACCTGGCACGACTGTCGAAGTCATCATAATTGAAGCGAGCAAAACTCCACTCCATTTCGATGAAGTCCAGTCACAATTTTGCAACAAAGTGCCGAAGTCCATCGTTTCAGCAGCTCGGTGATTCTCAGAAATCTAAGACAACCGCTTATATCAGCTTACGTTCGTACGAAGCTCAGGATGTGGTCTAACAGGGACATGCCTTTGAACTGAACTCCCCGCTGTTTTACCCGTAAACATGCTTCACCAACTAGCCCAAGTTTCAACAGTATTACAATTCCCCGCGGCAGATTTCTGCAGCCGTTCACACTGCAAAGCCCTATGTTGGTCTCGGCAACGCCTCGCGCTTTTGTTTACACAAACTGCACAGCGGCTCGTGTCATGGTTCATCGTCGCCCATCAGGGTCTCGCACGTCTCGCCGCTCTCGCTTTCACGCCGAACGGAGAAGACTCAGTCCTACGGCGCGCAGAGAGCTGGCACGTCGCGCACAGAGTCTGGGCCTCGAGTTTTGTTTGGTAAAACTTTCCGGACACACGATGGACCGCAACGAGCTGATGGCAGTTCATCGTCTGCTCCTCGCCGGCCTCGCCTCCTCTTCGCTCTTGTAAACCCTACCGGGAGGAATCGAGATAGCAATGCTACGGCCACAGAACCAACCACCCAACTCGCATCTGACAGGGTCACGTGCACCCCACGTGGGTGAAAGTTTAGTTTAAACTGTTTATGGCTGGGCATCAAAATGTGACGTGACGGCCTCCCGTGGGCGCCAACAGCTTTTTCGTAGTTGGAACGGCGGGACGCGCGCAGACTCGGGGTTTTCTCTTTTTAATTGGGAGGGTCGGCTGCCGCCATCTATCATCGTGGAAACCCGTCGAGACAACGGAAACGGCCATTTCGGCTATCTTGGCAAATCTGGCATCTCAGTGCGCCAGCGGGAGCCCTCTCCCTCGGCGCAGCTCGAAAGCGCGACCACGTGAACTACGCAATGCCTATGCGTTCTCTGGGACGGGGATGTCTTCCCACCCCTCGGGGAGGATAGGCGCTATAAATAGGCGCTCAACTAAATGCAAATCAGTGGCGTAGAATGTATTCTCATAATGAAGTATTTGCGCGTGCGGCGGTGACTCGACGCACCTCCCTCAAGTTTCCCCTTTGCTTATAGTGAGTTTTAGTATTGCGTATACGTGCCAACGCAAGCGCTATGCGTTTGCGTTAGCGTTCCGTGCTCCACGCCGCGCATACACGAAGTCGCCATGGGCCAATTTAAGGCCACGGTTTGGGCTCCGAGAACGCGCAGTGTGTAACACGCAACGCTAACGCAAACGCTCAGGGCATGCGTTTGCTCGTATACGCAATACTAAAACTCACTAATGAGTGTGCACTTGTGCAAACCTGTTGTTCACAGCGGGGGAAAGAACGAGAGAAAACCAGGCGATCAGAGGGTTACTGATATCAAAGTATTTGGAGGGTGACACGAAGATAAGATTTTTTCGTTAGAAAGCTGAGTTGTGTAAACGCTATAGTAGTTGAACACATATTACATATATGTTTTTTTTTTTACTGGTGTGCCTCGTCGCAGATATTTGGACTACGACATGATCGAACGCCTAATTAAAATTCCGGATTGGGTCAAGTGGATGGTGAGTTTGCCCGGAGAGAATCCCTTGGTATATACTATGTATAGCGAAGAAGTGTTCTAATTGTGTACTTCATGAACCAAAAGGCACACTTAAAGTGTATTTCTAGCATCGCGATTCGAGCAAAACGGACGCCACTAAGCGGGAAAACCGGGAACCAGACGGAACAGTTCGCTTTGCGCCTCTCCGCGTCTCTGGAGGCTTTAGCGGACACGTGTTGTCGGCGCGGTGGCGAACAATGTAATTTGACGAAGGTTCGAATATTTCTTAAGTTTGCCTGAGTGTTCAATAGTGTGGTGAAGCCTCAGTAGATTGTTTTCTTTCATTACGTGTTTGAAAGCCCGTTTACTCCACAACACACGGTCGCGTGCTTTCGATTTCTAGGACGGGGAGGAAGCACGGAAGAAGTTTTGATTTCTTGTGTGTCTCGAATCACGTTCAAAGTGGCAACTACTTGGTAACAGATAAGTGGTTTCTTTATAAGGATGTAAAACAGTTGACTGAGGACGACAGACGAGGTGTTTCACTTAAAGGAACATTAACGTTGCAGTCAAGTGAATGGGAAAGTTCGATAGCTGTTTTTCTTGAGTTTGGTTGTATTCGATTAACTTCAAGGTTGATCCACCTACGCCGGTCGTTTCATTGGCTATTCACCTTGGCTGCTTTTCGCCGGCAAAGCCCATGAACCACACCGAAGGAGTTGCGCTGATTTCGCAATTACTTGATTCCGGGAAACCTGCTCGCTGCATACGATTATTGAGGGAAATTGTCTGCTTTCAAAAGGGGGGGGGGATGCGTCTCGGAAAGTTAGAAGCTGTCACGACATTATGATCTAACGCACCTCCAATATTTATATTATACCCCCGTCGAAGCCAGCAGAAATATACGTCTACATGGCTCAGCTTGTCCGGCCAAAAAAATACTCAATTTCTCCGTTCAGGATTCGAAGATAAGTTCAATGCAGAGAAGTTCTGCGTGAATCTCCGATGAATACTCTCTTCAGTTTGTCCGCATTCGTCTCCGTGCTGCCGGCTAGAACCATCTGGCTGAGTAGTATCTCTCTGTCTGTCATGTATACTTTTATTCAGCAGTTCACCTAATAGCTAGTCAACTAAGCTCATATTTCAATCCGAAGGATATACTAATTTCCCTTTGGTGGAACATAGTACGTAATATAATACATACCCCGCATATTCGTCAAGAGGAATTCTCGATTGCTACTAAAACCTGAATTGAAATACGACTATCAGCTGCTTAGTGAAGCGCCAGTGGGTTAAAATGCCCTTGGCTCGAGAAGCGCTTGTTTAATTTTCGCAATTTTCCTGCAGCCTGTGTTGTTAACCGAGCAGACGACTGGAGCTGTTTCTTAAACGCGGATACGCACAAAAACTCGATTTCGCTGACAGATAAATCGCATGGTCGAGACATGCGAGTTAGCTGAAAATTACTCTCGGTGGAACAATTCTGTAGTCCTCGCCGCTTTCCTTAGCTGAACTAAACTGATTAGAGTCTTTTACCGTCTCTCAGGAGTCCATTGTTTTGGATTTGAACGAAATCTCCGAAACAAAAGTTTGACATGAAAATAACAAAAAGCACCGGTAAAACAAAACTATGCTCTGCAAGTTTATGTGTACCGGCTACACTTAACCGTCGCAGTTTAAATACCTTTAAAATAAGGCATTAAATACAAGAAAATTTGTTAAATTGAATGCGCCACCCGTTCAGGCGGCCCGGGCGAGCCGACGCGGCCTGTTCCTAGCCGCCATGTTTGTTTGGTGGTGGCGTCCACTATAGGCCGCTGGAGTCGCGAATATGAGGCATACTTTTGACGTGCATTTAGTGCACTCGGCATTCCAGGAATGCGGTCCGCTTGTCTACCCAGTCTGGCCGAGCGGAATTATCGTTTGATGCCGTTCTTGTTTCGACCTTCTCATTTCGATCTCGTTAAAATAACCTTGAAAGCCTCCTTTTTGGTTGGACCCACCGAATTTGGTCAGTTTTTGTTTCAACCTTCCCGACTCATGCAACACCCCCCTCCCCCCCCCCCCCCCCCCCCCAAAAGAAAAATAAATACAAGTAATTGGTGCATCGTTAGTTTGAGGTGTAGGTGGCATGGTTCGGTCTCCGGATATCCAAAAAGAAGTGAGCACATCCTTAGTAAAGTCCTTCAAATTTATGGTTTTCGCAAGAGACGACAGCCAAACGCATAACAAAGCACGTTACGCACAAAAATAAAAATAAAATAGCGTCTTGAAGTTTCTTCTGCTGCTGTACGCCACCACTCCCGCCCTCACCCCTCCCTCCCCCCATCAAAGACTGCACCTAAATCACGCAATCACCGCTTTAAAAAAAAAGGCTATTTTTCAAAACGCCACGTGCGGCTTTCCTATGAAAGGCAACATACGGTTTACAAACAAGTTCCAGGTGTGGACATTGCGTCTGCGTAGAAACCAGATTAGCGAGAGGGGAAGCGTCTGCTCATGTGCAGTATAGAGTTCCTGTATAGCTACCTACGGTCTCCCCCTTCGGGGGAGCGTATACAGGAACTCTAGTGCAGTACTGACACCAGCGCCACCACAGCGGCGTGACATCAGAGATTTGAATAAATGTATAGCCACTAACAACTTAACAAAAAACGCAGGGCTTGGTTCATTGCGTGTAAGCTTTCTCTTTCGTGATTTGTTCTTACATAATTGAGAGTTTTAGTAGATCGTGTTCTCGGGTCACGCTATTTGTAGCGGGAGCTCGCGCTGCCACCCTGATGCATGCTCTGAAGCACGCGACCGTAGCGGTAGTGGGCCTTTGAAAACGATCTACTAAAACTCCATAATATTACGCGCTAATGCCGAAATCATATATGCCGAGGAGCAATAATGAGATGTCCGGGACACGAATCGCCCTGCCTCTCCTGAACTCTCGATCATCTAAAAATCGTAGAGAGCATTCCGATGATGACCTGGGCGGTGCTGCCATTTTTTGCCTATTTTGACGTGAAACCCGTTTTGAGCATGCGCTGTAGCACTTTGCTGCGGAATATCGTGCGTCGCGCGTGTGTCCACAGTCCAGTGACTCTTATTTTCTCGCCTGGGTGAGAAGCGATGAGCAAAAACGCATAGGACCTTCGACCCTCGATACGGAGGTTCAGAATGCGGGGCGCAAGTTCGTCTGCATCTCTTGCGGGAATTGCCGTGACGTCAGAAAGATGCCGAGCTATGATTGGCTCGACTGTAACAATTGTGAGTAGACATCAAGGCAGCTTGCTTTGAGGTCTACCCCCTATCCTTCAATCAGAGCCAATTAGAGCTCAACGTCTTTCTGACGTCACCGCAATTCCTGCAAAAGAAGCAGACGAACTTGCGCTCCGCATAGTGTACGCAAAAGCTTCGCGTTCGGGAAAGAAATACGTTGAGAAACTGAGGGAGAGAAGGAAACGAGAGCGCATGGGGACGTCTGAACGCCGAGCTGCGGTTGGAAGGATCAGCATGTAGGCGCAATGCTAGCTGCTTTTGTCTTCTACTCACTTATCACACGCGTTCGAATATGAACGCGGCAGCCTGCGTTTGGAAATCGAATGCGTTCGAAGTATGAGTAGAAACAAAGGCAGCTATGGCTATGCGTCTACCGCTGATCACTCCAACCAGAGCTCGTTGTTCTGACGTACCCGCGCCTTCTCGTCTTCTCGTCTCCCTCAGTTTCTCGTCGCATAGTGTCGTTGCCATTGCGCATGCGCAGAGCCCATACCCCGTTTTGGATTAACGCAAAACGGCGACGATATATGTTATTTTTTTTGTACGCAAAGCTTTTAAGTACGCTATCCTAACACACGCTAATCTCGTGAGCTGCTCTCACGCGGTAGCATATCTCTAAGTGTCCGTCTAGACATAACTCAACTCGGAGGCTGCAGGAAGCAAATACAACCCGCACACGCACAAAGTCTCTAAATATATTGATTTTGTGTGTGTGTGTGTCTATATGTCCTTTTTTGCATTCTGCAGCCTCCGGGTTGAGTTATATATATATATATATAGTATAGTCTCCACCAGGCTCGTTTGCACTCCGACTTAGTCTCCATCTGCTCATCGTGTCGCGATATCTGCTCCTCGTAGAAGGAGGGCCTTTCGGTGTCGAACTTCGGCGAGGACATGATGAACGACATGGAGCTGCTGCAGAGCGACCTAGAGAAGAACCTACAGGACCTCGCCATCGATCTGTTCGAGCACCAGTTCTACGAGCTCGTCATCACTAGCACGACGCTCGCCTTCCTCGCTTTGCTCACGGGCACGCTGCTCAACACTAGGGCCCCCAACTTCACTCGCTTCGAGCGCATCCTCGTTCTGGAGGGAACTTACATCGGGCTCTTCACCGCCGAGATCGCTTTCATGGTAAGCAGCCGCAAAAATTGAAGTTTCATATTCAAATTTATTTTTGGTTTGTCAATTGGCACATTGATTGATTGAAATCGTATCTTTATTGATAAGAAAGGCTCGCCTGCCTATGGTTTTGTGCTTCTGAGGCAGGAAAGGGGGGGGGGAGGTTGTGAAGGCTGTAGGAAGAGGGAATTATGATGATGATTAAGTTAGATGAATTGATGGACCCCAGATGTCCTGATAAAACGTATCAGTGAATCCAGAATTTGCTTTCTGTCTGGTGCCTGTCCTTTCGGGTGGGTCCAGGCTTCTAAATTCCTTGGCTTCGCCTCGCTCGTTAGCGTGGTAATTGGCAGAGGGCAGACAAAGGAAAAGGCAACTCGGATGTCGCAAGAAAAGCCTCTCTTTCGTAGGGTAGAGGAGAAATAGCATGAATATGCACAATATTCAAAATATTGACTCAAACACGCATAGATGTATAAATGAGTACTTAGTGCTCATTAAAAATATATCAATCAATCTTGGTTTTCGTTTTAATAGACCTATTACAGTTTAGTCAAGTGCCCTAGTGCCTGCATGAGGTATTGTGGGTACAGCGTACAGCTCCTGGCATGGTCACCCTTCAGATCACTTTACTTCGCCGTTGACGTCTTTTCAACCTTCCGTTCCTGAGCTTGAGTTATATATGTTTATCCATTGAACGTATTTCTATGGTTTGTAAGTGTATTTGTTTCGTTCTGCGTGATATAGGCCTTGTATATTTAGTGTTCTTTGTACCTGTCGTCGTTTTTAAAGCGGGCGTCGACGGACATCATGCCGCCGCTTACAACACTGCAGAAATGAGTAGTCCTGTTGTCACTAAATTCTATCGCGCTCTAAACTCGTCTACATGACTCGCATGCAGTCTCGAGAGGGCTGTTAAGAATGTCAGTGCACCTGTCATCAGAGCAGGCAGAGCAACGACGTAGACATTTGGAGGTGAGAGCCGACCGCGCCTCTATCTGGCCGACCTCGCTCGCTCTGCTGAAATGTGGGCGTGGGATTAGGGTGACCACCTTCCTGCTGGAAAAGTCGGGACACGGTGACCCTGGGGGAGGGGGCCGGGGAGGGGGGGGGGGGGAGTAAGAGGATGATCCTTATATTACAATGGCGGCAAAGAAAAAAAAATCAACTAGAGGAAATTTATTAACGCGAGCACCACGAAATGTGGCTCTGCTGCCGTCCGAAGGTGTAGTATACACCTTCAAAATGTATTGGGGCAATTAAGCTTAAATAATATTCACTCCCAGTGGTACGTCTAAAAAAAATGTTAATGCCGAATAAGGTATGAATTGTGTCTAAGTTTAAAATTAAAAAAAAACAAAAACACATCAAGTGTTTTGAAACTGGATGCGTCAAAAGGAAAGAAGCAGCAAACGCTTTTAGGCTTATTGTTTCCTGTTCGAGGTTACCTTTCCAAAACGATGCTACACAAATTTAGATGCTTACGTGTTTTCGAACCTTCGTGAGTTGCAGGCCGTTTGCCTTGTGTGGCCGTCCTCACAAGAAACAAAAAAGGAGAAACAACCTTTTTAGAGTAACGTTTTTGCAGTGACACAGCCTGATTTAAAAATAATTGCTATAACTAATTTTTCAACTTTTGGGAAGCCATTTTTTTAAAATAATGCTATCAAGGGAGAGGCACTACGGCTCATGCGCGTGGGTTCTCCTGGAAAGAACGACGGTCGCTTCCAGCAATGCTTGAATAAAGAATGGTGTACCATTGCGATTTACACGATTACCAGATTCCTCTGCGCTTACCCGTGCCCCGTTGTTTTACAGCAGTGTAAAATGCGGGACATTCTGCAGATTCTGGTATTTCACGTGGAACGCGAGACACGCGCCTTCAATGCGGAACAGTCCCGCCAGTCAAGGGACGGGGGACACCTTACGTGGGACCTTCTAGTACTAGAGCCACTAAATGAGCTGCGCTTAGAGTATCGCACTCCGTTCTCCGACATTGTTGTGGGCGCCGCCATTTTGGTTCGTATGCAGAGCAGACGGAACTGCCGATCGTCATGATTCAAAAGTGCGACTTCCTCAGCATTAGAGTTCCGTGTTAGGAAGGTCATGCAATATTGCTTCGCTTCGCTTCGTCGCGAACTGTTTCAACATTTGTTGAGAGCGCCCAGAGCGTTTCCTGTGATTTCAAAAAGAAGCTTCAGATAACTGGCAACCATAATTTTAAGACACAATATGTCCGAGTGTCGTTAGTCTGAAGTCTAGCTTATTATAGTGGCGCTATCTAGTACCAGTAGCTGGCTGAAGATGCAAGACGCTGCTTTGTCGTCGCGAATCCTTCGCCCTTCGAATGCCTGCGAAGCCGTTTCAGCGCTCGGCGCACCCTAGGCATCGTGTTACAACCGCCCGAGCAGCATCGCAACCTTAGGGTTAATGTTCGCGGGGTTCATAAAATACTCACCTTCAAGTCGCGACGATGAACCGCCGGCGCTCGGCAGACGGCCAACAAGCGCTGGAACGGCTTCGCAGGCGTTCGAAGAGCAAACAATTTGTGACGACAATGCAGCGTCCTGCATCGTCAGCTAGCTAAGGGTGCTCTAGGGTTCCACGCTCACATTTTACCAAAGCGAGCGCGGTCGGACAGATGAAGGTGCTGTCGGCTCTCGTGTCGCGATTGCTACATTGTTGCTCTGCCATAACTGATTGCATGTGCACTGACATGAGAAACAGCTCTCTCGTGTCTGCATGTTGGTCGAATATACGAGTTTATAGCGCGATGGAGTGCCGTGACAACAGTAATACTCACCTCGGCAGTGGTGTAAGCAGCGGAGTGATGTGCGTTAATGGCAGCGTCTAAGATGACGAAAAAAAAGACACTATACACAGTAATTACAGCACGGAGAGCGAAATAAATACTCACAAGCAATAAAAATACACTGGAATAAATAAAAAAAATTAAAGCAAAAAAAAAAACAAAAAAACACACGGGCCCTATGTTGCGCTTTTTGGACTCCCATGGCGACTAGAGAGAAGAAATGGACGCCAACAACGCAGCAAACGCAGATTGGATGTTGATTGGTGAGAGTCGCTGATGACGAATTTCCGGAGAAGAGAACAAAGCTCACTTTTTCTTTGTTTTCTTCTGTAAACATCCAACCTGCGTTTGCTGCGTTGTTGGCGTCACTCCCTTCTCCCTAGTCGCCGTGGGAGTCCAAAAAGCGCAAAGGCCGCAGGCGTCAACGGCGAGGTGAGGCGATCTGAATGGAGAGCAGCCAGGAGACAGAACGCCGTACCCACAATTCCTCGGCCTCGTGATAGTGCTCTTGGGCAAAACTGCGAAAGGCCTTTCGCTACTGAAGGCTCTGTCCGCCATTCAGTGCATGGAGGTAGGAATCTTCTGGAGGTGACATGAAGCCGCCAGAGGGGAAGAAAGAAGAGTGCATGCACTCTAAAAAAAAAAGGGGTGTAGCCCTTACACCCCTTTTCACATATACGGCACCCCCAAACTTCAAGTGGGCGCACAGCGCACTGACGTTCAACCAACGCTGCCAACTTTCACGAGCAGCTTGATAGCCGAGTTGTACAAGTTATTAAAATAGCTTACGTGAGTGTAACTGACTGTAAAACAATTTATTGGGGTTTTCTTGGCACTGAAAAACCTTAGTGTTTTCTTTTTGTACTCTTTTACGCGTACATTAGCTGTTTAATATCTTACATCGCACCGTCATCAAGCCTCTCGTAAAACTTGGGGCCGTCAACTTGATGTTAGCGCGCTGTACGGCGCACTGTCGTACATGCGACAGGGAGTCTAGGGGCTACACCCTTTTTTGTTTAGAGTGTGGGCACGTCCCCAACGATGATCACAGCTGTTTTGATTATCGTTGGGGGCATCATGTTGCCTCCAGAAGCTTCCTACCTCTAGCATTCGACAAGCACGCACATTTCTAATTTTGAGTCTGACTGCATACGACACTATAGACCTTCGCGAAAAATCGCGTGCTGCGCGTTGCCATTTTTGTGTGCTGGGCTGAGGAACGCCTGCTGAACTTGCGGTATATCAGACGCTGAGCATGCGTCCGCAGCTCAGTTAGTCGGCATTTTTCTCCCGTGTGTTTAAGCGGTGGTCTATAGACCTCATTCTGCGCGCTGCCATCTTTGTCTGCTGGGCTGTGGAACGCTTTCTGAGCCTGCAGTCTTGCTCTGTTGTGCGGCCTATCAGACGCTGCGCATGCGTGCACAACTCAGTGAATCAGCATTTTCCGCCCGGGTGATAAGCGATGAAAAGGTCTATGCGATCCGATAAAGGGCATCAAGCTGCGGCACGGAGCTCGTTCTTTTTGTGGGTCCGCGATCACTGACAAAACAAATCACGCACGAAATAAATATACGAGATCGCCGCGTATTTATTGTGCGCGATCGGTTTGGTCGGTGATAGGAAACGCAAAAAGAAGGTGAGCGCCGCGACGGTACCCTTTTGGCGCTGGCTGATGGGCGCCATCGGATCGTACCCCTCGGATGCGGTCGGACTCACAAGTAGAACCAAGCATAGTGTCACGCGAGAAGGATTTTTGTTCTCTCCGCCAAGCCTGGACGAAGCCTCAGTCAAGCGCTCATCTAATCGAAGGCTATAGTTTGGTAGAGTGTTTACAAACAAGTCAACGTTTGTCCACAACAGGTGTGGGCACTGCACGAGCACAGAAACCAGATTTGCGTAAAAAGAACCTTCTGCGCATGCGTTGTAGCGACAACAGCGTCCTCTCAGCGGCATGAAGTCACAACTTCGTGTTGGTGTATACCCAGTGCGAACTCCAAGAGAGCCTCGGTTTCAGTGTCACAAAATCTGGTGTTTCCGAGGGCGTATACCGATTCAAAGTTATAATCAGGTAGAATAATATTGGGTGTATATAGTTAATAAGAGCGAAATGGAACACTTTCTATGGAAGGAGAGTCCACCTCTAGCGATTACTGAATGTTGACCGTTATGTTGCGTTTCTTTACTTATTCTACTTTGGCACTCTGTTTGCGCACAGTGGTCTGCAAGGAATCGGAAGGTTTTCGATCCCACAACCATTGGCAAGAACATGTTCGGAATCGGAAGCCGCGGGCTATTATGTCACTCGGAATGGAGGGCGTGCTGGTAAGGGTAATATAAACGATGGGAAGAACATAAAACACAAAGACGGACAAGTCAATTTTCCATGAAGCCTTTCAAGCGCTCGGCGTCCCCTACGCAGCGACTTTTAACGACCATCCGAGGAGCATCGCAACCGCGGGGTGAATGTTCGCGGGGCTCAGAAATTTTTAATATTTATCGCTGTTAGGAGAAGAGATAGGTCTCAGAAGTTTTTATTATGAATGAAGATTACTGTGTTTTGAGGAGGTTAGATTATAACCGCTTCTTCATCGCAAACATAAAACAAATCGTATGAGATGAACTTGTTTTCCTTTTCAGATAACAGCGTATGGACACCGCTTCGTCCGCCTGGATAACTACAACAAGCTGGACCTGGTCCTCTTGACCACCTGCGCCACCCAATTCATCACGCAACTCACCATGCATATCACGCAACTTGATTTTACGTTCCAAACCATGATGACCTGCTTCTTCATCTTCGCCATGTCCGTCAGGCTCGTTCATTTGGTCAAGTACGTCCAGGTGAGAACTGGAGCTTCATGACGCTTTGCAAGAAAACTAGTGGCTGTTCTCGAAGTGGAAAACAAATGCGGACAGTGAACTGGCAAGGCGTTCGGCGTACGTCGATCTGCTTTCGCTTGACCTTGCCACCGCGGCGTTCTCGCTCGCTCCCCGTGCCAACAACATCAGGGAGTTTTCGTAGACCGCGTTGCCCCCTCCGCTAAGCGTTCCGCAACGAAGAAGTTGCTACTGCGCCTGCGCGCCGATAGCCTTGACTGTGGAGTTCCCGCTATCGTAGCGGGTTGCGGAGGGCCTTGCGGGACGGCGAAAACGATCTACGAAAACTCCCTATCGTAAAGGGCCATACGCACATTCGCGTTTGAACGCGTTTGAGTGCGTTGCGGAGTCCTTGCGGCCAGGCGCGGTCGCTTGCGGAGCGACGTGCGCCTTCCCGCAACGCTCGGTAGCGCGACGCAAGCGAGTAGAGACTCGCTCAACTTTCCGAAGCGTTGCGGTGCGTTCGGGTGCGTTCGACCAATCAGAAGCCGAAAGAGGACAGGGGATGACATGTTCGCTCGCCCCACCCGGCCGACTCGGCGAGACGTATCCGGTTCGCCGGTCGCAGGGCTTGCTTTTTCGTTTTGGGGAGCGGTGGGGACTGTATTTTCCAAGGCTGCGATGGTTCAAGCTTGACAAAACGTCGGGGAAGCCGGCGAGATTGTCCCAAGATCGAACACCGACGCTGTCGCCGTGCGCCGCCATGTTGCCTTGGATTTCGCTTACTATTGGTGAGCCACTAGCGACGATAGCGCGTTCTTATTGGCTCTTGACTGCGGTTGACTGCGTGTCAACGCAACTGTGCGTACAAGCTTGGCGCAAGCGGTCTTCGCAACGCAACGCGTCCGCTTGCCGCTACGGAACGCACCGCGCTCAAACGCGAATGTGCGTATGGGCCTTAACTGTTTCGTTTCGTTGTGTCTTATATGTAGCGAAGAAAAGACAAGGGGGGGGGGGGGGGGGCAGGGTACTTACTGCGACGCGTGTAAGCGTGGAGTAATCCACGACAACGTGATCAATGGCGGTGCGGAAACCATAGCAAACGACAGGTGCACAACCCGGCAAAACCGAGGCTATCTGCTGATAGTCTCCTGCTGCCAGAGTGCACATAAAACGCGAGGGGTGGTGTTATTTGGCATATTTCTCATTTGCGAACGAAAGGATTCTTTTCTTTTTTTTTTTTGTATAAACGTAATATTTGAATTCATAAACCCCCCCGAAATGCAAAAAAAAAAAAAGAAAGAAAAACATATATAGATAAAAATATTGTTATTTTAGGCTTTACAGATTGATTTGAAAAGAATTAAGCTGTCAAAGCTACACTAATGCCGTATGCGAAGGTGAGCTGACGGCCTGGGGAACATAATGCAGAAGAAGAATCGTCACAACATGTCCGTTAATGAACTAATATTTGCTAATCAACTTTTTAAGTGTTGGAGATAAGCCTATGGTTTCAGTTATAAGCTTGATGGGCGTCATTGAAAACCTGTAAATAATTGAGTTTTAGCAAGAGTTAGGGTCGTGGGATGCGCGGTTGATGCGCTAAAGTTACCACGCCTGCAGCAGGCGCAAGGCTGGAAGTGGGAAAACGCGCCCGCGCAGTCTTTCCGTCCCTTATCATCCGAAGTTTCGCACCGCCAGCATTGCTTGCGTTCGCGAGTCGTAATTTTAGCGCACCAGTGCGCTTCACACGCTCCGCAGATATTCATAAAATGTAGTTATTTCGTGGATTTCGACGACGTTACGCACGAGTATAATTGGAAGTATATGTTTATTGTCACAAATTAAAAAGAAAAATATATAATGAAGATATTTTAGTGAATTATTTGAGTTATCGTGACGATTAGCCTTTATGTTATGTGCATTTATGCGTTTAAGTCACCTGCGAAGACCCAGTTAATGTGGCTTTCACGGCTTTTTTTCAAAACAAATTTGTAAAACCTAAAAACAGAAACCCCCGTATGACGTTAGTAGCTCTATCCTGCTCAGGTAAACGGACAATCTCGATTTTAATTGCCCTCTATCTGTCGGCGGTGACCAGGCTTTACGAAAACGAGATAATTAATTTAACTTTAGGACGAAAACAATAACATATATTGGAGGTTTTAGTATTTATTCCGATAGGTTGAGGCTGGTAAAGTGTTACCAACTGAGGTGTTTTTTCATATTCAGGTAAAGAACAATCAAGGCAACAGGCATCATCAAGTGATTCAACGCAGTCATTTTAGATATCAAACAGAATATAGACGCAGCGCGTTTTAATCATGAAGAGAGGAAAAATCTTGACCAACATTTTTTTCAGCTGCACCAGCTAGTGCTAAATGCTTTACTGAAGCAGTTTGGGTGCACCTTGTGCACAATTTGTAAGTGCTGTCTTAGTTCTTGGAAACTTAAAATATACATAAAATGTCGTCGAATTCTTTATTTTTGTTTTACAATTTGTATTGAGTACTTTGTATTCCCAATGTCTGTTATAATTCTAATGGTCACTGACAGGACGGTAAGGAGGTCTTTTGGGTTGTCCCGCCTGCAGTGGGAGCTTCCTAACTTCCAAAACACTTCAGCGTCTCGTTATAGCCTTGAGCGTTCACGTGCAGTCAAAGAATGGCGGATTGCAACAAGCGCGTGCCGAAGGCCGGGGAATCCAAAAAGATGCCCTGTAATTTTGTTCCTGTCAGTGCTCATAAAAAAATATAAGTATCACGAAATCAATAAATAAATAAAGCCGATCTCATCTTGAGCGCAGCTGCTCAAGGACGCAGTGGTGTACATGATGCACCGCTTTCTGGACATGCTCATCTACTCGGCCTACGAGACGAGCCTGGCCATCATCGTGGCCGAAGAAGAGGTGCAGCAGAACCTCTGGAAGTATGTGGCCTCGCCCGACCTGGCTCTGGAGGCCCGCAGTCGGGCAGCCAACAACCGGCTCATGGTGCTGCGCAACCTGGTCGAGATTCAGTCCCGCTTCCCGGGCATCGCCGTAGCCTTCAAAAGCCGCCAGGCCGGACGGACCATCCTGAACGACATGTGCGCCTACCTGGACGAGATGCAGCGCGACGGCATATTCGGCGAGGAGCAGCACCGCGAATTGTACGAGGCAGTCAAGATCAACACGCTGAGCATTATCTGCGCGCCCAACAGCCTGCCAGCCAGCTACATGCCCATAGCGGTGCTGCGTGTCATCCCCTGGATCGACTCCGACAGTGTGCGACAGTTCCTCGCGGTGCGTATTCTTCGGAAAAGTGGTCCGCTACGTCCGGATGGACGGTGTAACAGCTCCGGGGTCGTCCTTGTTGTCGGGCTCCGCTGGAGCCAGGCGCCAACCAGGACATCAGGCAGAAGGAGCTCGGAAGCAGGGCCTCTTTTGACAACGGGTTTACTTTACATTTGTACAGGGTCGAAAAACAGCATCAGAAGACAGGAGTCCCGAAGAAGTCCGCTTCTTTTAACGGGACGCTCTTCCCTACATTCCCCACGTAGGGATTTCAGCTAGCTATGTCAGCTCCTCCCCCACACACAGCGACACACCCCCGTCTCCGCCCACAGACGCCATCAACACCATGCAGATTAGCTGTCCCAAAGACGTGTCTGCTTGTCCCCCGAGGGGTCGGCGGGGTCGGCGCGGCGCGCCTCCATGATTGCTGCTGCAGCGGCTTCCTCTTCCGAAGGGAAGGTAATTGGCTGCCGGGCGCCCAACGGGTGGGGTCCACCTGGGAAGTTCGGGAAAGGATGCATTGATCTCGTGGGCCACTGTCGGATTCCTGGAAGGCCGAGTAGCTGGTCTTCTTCCCACGTCGGCGGGCATCTTGAAAGGTCGCTGACCAGCACTCTCGTCTCGCCGCCGCCGCTTGTCCTTGAGCTTTCGGGAGCCCAAGGGGTTCTTGGAACGTAGAAATGCCTGGACGTTTTCCCACGTCTGCCGGCTTCTTGAAAGGTCGCTTGGACGCCTGTCGGTCTCCAAGACGGCGTTCGTTACAGCTCCTCCACGGACGGGAAGATCTCTGAAGGGGAGGAGTTTCCGCTGCTCTCCTGAAGAGATCAGCTTTGAGGTCATCGAGAGTGGCCAACACCCCAAAGCAACACAGACCGCAACACACAAATCCAGTAAGGGACGCCACCCTCTCCGCAATCACCAGGCCCGCAATCACAAAAATTAACTTGCCAAAGTACAGTACGTCCCTGTGGACAGGAAAGGTGACGTTTTTTCGCGCCACGCCATCCTTGCAAGTTTCCCAAAGCTTGGTCAGACTGGGATCGGCCCTCTGCTCTTCGATGAGCACTACCTTTGTTTCGGAGATGAGCTGTTCGAAGCCTTTTGAGGTAGGGGCTAATAGCACCCCATCTGTCTGCGTCAGCTGCTCGTCGGGGGTTTCCCTGTCTAACGCGGGCGTTCTCTCGCTTTCTTCCCCTTTCCTCGTATCTTTAGGGCTACTCTGTTCTAAAACCATTACTGGAGAGTCTTTTAGATTTCCCGGGCTAGCATCGTCATAAGCAAATTGCGTGGACAGCTCGCGAGCTTTAGCTCTTATGAGTGCCTGAACGAGACCCTCCCCGAGGCTTTTTCCCTGCTCTCTTAGAATCTTTTCTGTTCGGTTAGAAAACAAGTAACGGTACTGCGGCGGCAGTTTGTCCGAAACCGCCGCCTCAGTGCGAACCTCTCCGAACGGACCAGAAACGAGGACATCCGCCACGGGAAGACACACGCTCCCTTTGTCTAACACCGACTTGATCCAACTACACTTTCCATTGTAGTTGGCTTCGGTGACATAAGTAGGGTGAACAAGGTCAATGGTGGCTCCACTGTCACGCAACACGCGGCATGCCTTCCCGTTTACCGTCATGTCGAACAGGTACGGGCTCAGGAGCTCATCATTCTCCGCGCACTGACTAGCGTAGGCGAAAACCACCCTTGGTTTAGTGCATCTTGCGGCAATGTGCCCTGTCTCATGGCAGTTGAAGCACGTTATAGGCTTCCTTGCCTCGAATGCTTTCTTCTTTTGCCTATCGTCCGCGTCACTGCCCTGGGATGCTTTCGTTTCCTCATCCCCCCGATCTTCCTCAGTGTTCCTTCCCGTAGGCTCTCGCCCTTTCCATCCCTTGCCGCGTCGCTCGTCCCAGTTTGTCTTTTCGAAGGTTTTTCCCGTTCCTTCGTTGTTGTTTCTGCGCGAGCTATACTCGTCCGCGAAATCCGCGGCCTTGTAGACGGAGTCTACATCTGTTTTGTCTTGAATCCAAGTCCGCATGGGTTCACTTAGTGTCTTATAAAACTGTTCCAGCGCGACCACCTCCAGAATTTTTTCTTTGTCGTCATACGACTTGGCTACCTTCATCCATTCGATAAGATACGACCTCAGTTCGTACGCGAACTCCGCGTAGCTAGCCTCTGGCTTTTTGCTCACGCTTCGGAACTTCTGTCGGAACGCTTCCGCCGACAGGCGGTACTTTTTGAGCAAACAGCCCTTCACACACTCGTAATCGTCCGCCTCTTCCGCAGTTAGCCTGGCGATTACCCCGGCTGCCTCGCAGGGCAGTACACCCAGCAACCTTCTGGGCCACGAGTCCCGGTTAAAACGTGCCCTTTCACACGCCCTCTCGAAGTTTACAAGGTAGAGAGCCATGTCCTGTCCTACCTTAAATGGTTGTATCAGCTTCGACATGTCATAGAGATTTCGGCTGCCTGCTACCTCCATCTCTGGTCCTCCGTTCGTCTTCCTCAGTTCCACCTCCAGACGAAGTTTTTCAAGTTCCAATTCTTTAAATTTTGCATCGTCTTCGTTTCGGTTTTTGATTCGTTTCCACATTACCTCAATTTCATCGTTGTCAAGACCCTCTTCCTGGATAGCCTTAACGAGCTCCATTTTTTTCATTGATGTGCCCGCCTCAACCCCAAGCTCTTCACACAAGTTGAGCAACTCCGATTTCAGCAAGCGCTGCACCTCCATGTCCGCGACCTATCTGGGCGGCAAACTCTGCTCCACTACCAAGAAGTACCAACTTCAAAACTTCCAAACTCCAAGGTAGTCCCCACGCCCCTGCAAAATTCTCAACTCTATTTTACAGGCCTGGCGAAAGAGAAAGGATGCCATCACTCACCAGACTCGGATCACGGTCCATGAAATCTTTCGGCGCCGCCCCTCACTCGTCGTTGAACTCGATCCCACCGGCTGCCATCCAGTTGTAACAGCTCCGGGGTCGTCCTTGTTGTCGGGCTCCGCTGGAGCCAGGCGCCAACCAGGACATCAGGCAGAAGGAGCTCGGAAGCAGGGCCTCTTTTGACAACGGGTTTACTTTACATTTGTACAGGGTCGAAAAACAGCATCAGAAGACAGGAGTCCCGAAGAAGTCCGCTTCTTTTAACGGGACGCTCTTCCCTACATTCCCCACGTAGGGATTTCAGCTAGCTATGTCAGCTCCTCCCCCACACACAGCGACACACCCCCGTCTCCGCCCACAGACGCCATCAACACCATGCAGATTAGCTGTCCCAAAGAAGTGTCCGCTTGTCCCCCGAGGGGTCGGCGGGGTCGGCGCGGCGCGCCTCCATGATTGCTGCTGCAGCGGCTTCCTCTTCCGAAGGGAAGGTAATTGGGTGCCGGGCGCCCAACGGGTGGGGTCCACCTGGGAAGTTCGGGAAAGGATGCATTGATCTCGTGGGCCACTGTCGGATTCCTGGAAGGCCGAGTAGCTGGTCTTCTTCCCACGTCGGCGGGCATCTTGAAAGGTCGCTGACCAGCACTCTCGTCTCGCCGCCGCCGCTTGTCCTTGAGCTTTCGGGAGCCCAAGGGGTTCTTGGAACGTAGAAATGCCTGGACGTTTTCCCACGTCTGCCGGCTTCTTGGAAGGTCGCTTGGACGCCTGTCGGTCTCCAAGACGGCGTTCGTTACAACGGATGGATGGATGTTAATGGCTGTACCCATTATAATGAGAGGTAGCTTGCGCCCCCTAGCATAAAGAAACTACATCTCTTCGAAGCCAAGTATTTTTTTCTCTGCCTTTGTGTGACCATCGAATTTTTCTGACTAGTTCGCTATACTTCTATAAATAGATATATATTTTTTTTTAATTTCGCGCGGTACGAACTATCTACAGGTGCAAACTATATAAAGATTTGTTTGTTTTCTATCGTTCATGATGATGAGACATGACGGATGTTGTGAATGACAAAGTATCTTAGTTATGATTTATCTGTGATACAAGCATTTTGTGAGGTAATAAAGCAGGCATTTGTCAAGGTCTGTTGTGCATGACGCTCTTTTACGTGCGGGCTAAGCACTGCACGTGCGGACTATGCACCTGGAGCGGACTATAGTCCGAAAAATATGGTATCACCGGGCAGTGGCGTGATCGACAGAATAATTTTTGAGATATCACATTAAAAAAAAGCGGACTCCTCTTTGGGTCTTTAAACCCCTTCTGGGGTCGTTACCAGGTGACTACACTCGCTTACGTCTTATGGGAAAGTACATACAGACCTTCGATTGGTCATTTCGAACACATATTGACCAGTCTAATGCCGCCCTTTACAGTTCCTAGAGATTAAATCCACTTGAACGTAAGATATGCAATCCTACGGGTGTCTTTGCTCCGAAGCCACGTCTTTCGTCTACCGGCAAAACTTTGATGGTAGTCTTTGCTCGCTTGATTAGTGTCTTGTTATCTTTCAATACGAATTCAGGCTAAGACGTTGGAGATAAACTCGAGATTAGAGGCTTCAGAAATTGAGTTCACCTGTGCTCTTTTAAAAATGCCTGCGCGTCTACTTACCCGCCAAACACTCAAAGAGCCGGTCTTTGCGATTCGCGAAATCAGCTTCGCAAATGATGAGGCGGAACATCTGTTTAGATCTCAGAATTAAGGCTGCGCTGCGGCATTAAGCAGCGCAAGCATGACGCTTTGCATTGCGCAATGCCACAGCGCAGACTTCATTTTTAGGTCTAAACGGACGTTCCGCCTCATCATTCGCTGAGCTGGTTTCGTAGAACGCAGAGATTGGCTCTTGAGTGTTTTGCGGGTAAGTAGACGCGTAGGCCTTTTTTTAGATTGTATGCTCTGGTATGGTATTTGCGCTGTCGAAAAATTGTGGGTTTTCGTTCTGGGAAGCTTCGGCGTTGTTGGAACGTGCAGTGACTCTTGGTGTTTTTTTTTTTTTTAAATTGTTGTATTTTTTATATTGAGGGGTAGTTTTAGCAAAAACGTTTACGTTTGAGCATGCTTGTTGAAGTGGGAAGTGCCTGGAAATAAATCTCTTTGAAATTATTGTCTGAAAAATGTTTAAAGTGTGCTTTTTGGTTATTCTTGTGATCCAAAAACTGAGGCTAGATTAAATTCTACTGATGCTTTTGAGCACACGACTCCTAAGGTTCTAGATGGTGTAAAGCTTAAAACGAGCCGTGAGATAAACACGCGCACCATCGGAGTTGAGGATCGCTAACGTGCAGTTTGCTTGCTTCTCACCTCGATTACTGTTCTTCACAGCAAATTATATTCGACTGTCGTAAATGCTACTGCAAGAAGTGCAACTACGAGCAGGTTTCTACTAATGTAAATCACATGTCACATTCAATTGGGGCGCACCACACCGCACCGCACTGCACCGACGGACGCGTCGCGTTCACATGGTCGTGTCGGTGCGGCTGCACTACATTCATTTGGGACTTGGTGCGACGCACGACACCGGCGCGTTGCTGCACCAGCTGCACCGTCGGAAGGAGACCGTGCAGCTTCGCGCACTGCGGGCCGGCGCGGCCTTGAGCTACCGCTCTCCGCCTCCTTCGGCCCCTTCTTTCCCTCGCTTAGTCTTCCTCGTCTCTGTAAACATGGCGGCTCGGGAGACTCTCGCTAGATGGCGCGCGCCGCCGCCCCACTCGCGGCGGATTTCGTTGAGTGGTCCACCCGTTTATGTTTTGCCCTTGAATTGACCGCGCCAAGCGCGTTGCACGGCGGAATGCTTCGCGTTCACTTGGTAGTGCGTCATACGCTGCACCCGCGCGGTGGCACGGCCTTGGGGGCAGCACTTTCTCGGTGCTGCGTGCGCCCCAATTGAATGTGACAACAGAATGCTGCGGGTACAAGGTCAAAACCGCACAGGGCAGTGATTAAACTTGCGTCGTAACTTTGCCACCTGCTGTTTGAACACGAACAAATTGCAACATGTTTTTTTTTTTTTTTATTCTTTAAAGCAAACAAATTTTTCTTTAAGAAAAATGAAGTATTTTATAAAGTGAAATTATTTAAGTCATGCGGCGACCTTTATTTCGCATTACCCCCCATCTTCTGTTTAAATCACTTTCATTCTACGTGTGACTTCACGTTTCACGTGAGCGTTGTTTGTTGTTTGAAGTTCCCGCTCGGAGGTCATGTGGCTGTTACGTCGTGACCCTATACACCAATCAGGAATATCCTCCACGCCACAGACGCCGGCTTTTTTCGTTACACGAGCTCTTTAACGCTATCACGTTAAAAGTGGATACAGAAGCATCTAGTGTAGGTTGTCTATGAGTTGCTGCAGCATTCGTCATGAGTCTCACGACTCAGCTCACTGTGAATACGCCGACACAAATTCTGAGTAAGCACTTTAATTTATGAATGGCTTAGGACGTAATGATGACGTCAGCGCGACGGCAGCGTGCCACTTGGAAGTTGACCGATTGCTTCGTTTCTGTAATCGTTTAATATTCTGTATTTGTGTAATCGTTTACTGTTCAAGCATCATTGCAGCTTCGTGTGCGTGTCTTTTCCTGTTTCTGCATAACCGTTTAATGTTCAGGCTCTTTCACCACCATCCATGACCATGTACCAAGTAGCTCAACTCAAACCGTGAACTGCTACGTAGCTCGGGCGCAAATGCAAATGTGTGCGTACTGCCGCTCCGTGTTTGAACGGCGCGGGTTTATCTGCGGACGACGTCGAGCACAACGCCTAGGACGACCTCTAGGACGCACTCTAGCTCAACTACTAGGTCTATTACTAGGTCGACCTCAAGGGCGGCGTCTAGGGCGACGTCAAATACGACGTCTATAACGACCTCTAGGCAGACGTCTATAGGGCGATCTCAAGGGCGACGCCTAGAACAACCTCTCGGATGATGTCGAGAACGACGTTCTAAAGGACGACGCCAATATCGACGTCTAGAATGTCGTCTTCTAGGACATTGAGGACGATGACCTAGAAGACGAGGTCTAGGACGACTTTTAGGATGGCCTTGACGGGTATCTCAAAGACAACCTCTAGGACGACCTCAAGAATGACGTCTAAAACGGCGTCCTAGAAGACGACACCAAATACGACGCCTAGAGCGACCTCTCGGACGACCTCTAAAAAGACGTCGAGGAAGACGTTCGGATACGCGCGGCGCCTGTGAAAATAAGGACGTCGTTTGAATGAAGACGTCTTGCGTATGTGCGACGTCCGCATACGGGAGCCGTGCATATATACGCGCGGGAAATTCGCGGCCTGAATTCATACCGCGAAGACCGGGTGAAGTAGCAAGAGAATGCTATCGCAATAATAAAACTATCTGTCAGGTGCATTGACAACGCACTAACGCACTTTCCTCCTCCTTGCTTTCTGATACAGAATACATCGTAAAATTCTAAGGTAGTTTTATCTTTGTATCTCCCGAGAATTGTAGTTTGCACTAAGTCTGGGTCACATGGGCACCTATCTTAGTGCACTGCCAGATTGCCCGGCGGGAATGTTCTACTCACGATGAATGTTATCTTGCTACCATGCATGATCATTCGTGTCATCTTGGTTGCTTGTTGTCTTATCAGCGGCCCATGGAATGTTTGGACGGAGTGCCGAAAATAACGCGCATAGATAGGGAACGCGGCCGATGCCGCAAAACCGTGAAGTGTCCCACTAACAGCCATTACTGTAAAATAACGTTTGGTTCCTCAGTTTGCTAGCAAAAGCGTTACCGCGTAGCCAATATACTGCTTCCGGAATTGGTATAATTCTTCCCCGATATATGGCAAAGACAAATAAAAACGACTAGTCGAGTTGCGTGAAATTCCCACCCTAGCCCGCACATATATGAACGGGTATTGCGCCTGCAGGTCTGCGACCGTGCAATTATTACTGATTGATGCTCACTAAAAGTCCCAGGTTAGTTGTCCTTGACTAATTGACACGCTAGTAGTCTGCATTAGCGATATTAAATGTTAAATAGCGGATAAAAGCCTGTGGGAGCATACACATACGCGCAACATCTAAACAGCATCGTGTTAAGAAGGTACCTTTAAGTCGCAATCATTCAGCAGAAAGCGCTTTTTACGCAAGGAGTTGATCTCCCCAATATGTGATCTCGATGAATTGATCGGTGTGGGATTAAACGCAGCTCGGTTGTACTCATTCCCTTTCTTTCTGCCAACAGATGCAGCTTCGCCCGGTGACCTTCCCGGCGGAAGAAGTTATTGTGGAAAGGGGTTGCGAGAGTCCCATTATAATCACCTACTCCGGAATAGTCAAGGTGCGGCTATGCGTGTTTCAAAGGCATTCTTATGTCAACGGCGCAAAAGACATTGTCCACGTTTGGGAAACACACCGCGACCGGACACAAGGGCTATTCACTACGTGCATGCGACGCGTCTTCGCTCGTGTGTTCGCCTGATACCACCTAGAAGACAGGGCCGGCTCATGACGTCATCGTTAGTGAATCCCCGACCCGTTTCCAAGCGGCAGACACGTCGAAACGTAGCGAGAGACGCTGCAAAGCGCCAGACGCGTCCGTCTTGGCGTGGCCTCCTTCTAGCGTCGCGATCGTCGTGGGTCACCACGAGACGAAAGATCGACGATGCTGACGCAAGGTAGGCGGAGCTGCTTTGGATCCATAGCGGTGATGTTTAAGAGGGGGGTTGGGGTGCACGGCCTTCTCTTCTAGTTGGTGTTGGTTTACAGCCCATGCATTAAAAACTGTCCCGGAATAGAGAGAAAAAAAAAAAAAAAAAAAAAAAAAAAAAAACATTGTTTTGTAGGAACTTGCGCATGCTATGTTTTTGAATCTTACGATTGGTTTTTTTCGAAGAAATGCCGGTGAAAAAGGCGAGTCGACGCGAAGGTCGCTTTCATCGCAGCGTCCTATCTCGTGTTTGGTACGGAGTCCGGTTTGGCTGTCGTCTTTCAACAATCTGTTGACATTTTTCGTACACCTTTGTACGTGGCTTCGTTTGTTGTCTACACTCTACTTGCGATTCTGTCAAAGGTTTAGCTACGGTTTAGCCTTCTGCTTCACCAGAAATTAGATTATGCACCGATGTTTCGCAGCTACAGACACGTTGCTCGCTGCCATGATTGCTGGAACTGCTGCAGCGCGCGAGTGAAATACGTCATTTTGGGCGCGGCATATATGGACGAGAATTAGGTTATCGCTATTCGCAAGTTTCATTGGGCTACACTTATTTTGCGATTTCTTATAGACGAAACTCTCGGGGACCTTTGCAGTAACGGAAAGGCGGATGCCAGACGGGAGCTGCCGGACATCTTGGCTTTGTTTATTACATTCGGGACCGAACGATAATACAGGCGATACAAGATAGGACATCAGTGCTTCCTCGTTCGCAATATATATATAAAAAAAAACAAAAAAACTCGCCGAATAAACAATTAATATATCAGTCGCGAAAAAAAACAAACAGAGGTCGACATTGAAGCATTTATTAGTGGTATGCTATTGCTGATGTTATACAGAGTTTCTACGAACGTTGGCCAGTCGGTGTAGCACTTATACCTCCTCAGGTTTTGCGGTCATATAGGCCTAGGCAACCAAATGAAGAAACACGCATTTTGTTTTATGTGTATTTCCTCTACCTCCAGCTATGCTTTCGCTTGCTCTGCTATACCTCACTTATTCCGCATCCACGATGCCTTACAGTCAACTTGATGGGAAATGTATTTACTGTGCAAAAATGTTTTTATTTTTTGCAAGAGGCAGTTAGAAATAAAGGCACATAAGCAAGATGCATATACATATGCGGCGGGCAAGTTCGTCTGCTCCGCTTGCAGGGGATGTGGTCATGTCAGAACGCCAAGCCCTAATTGGCTTCGACTGGAAGGATAGTGGGTAGACATCAAGGCAGATAGCACTGAGGTCTGCCAACTATCCTTCCAATCAGACCTAATTACTCCTCGGCACTCTTGCGCAAGACGCAGAGGAACTTGTGCTCCACTAAGACGTGCCCAGAGTAAATCAAATCAAATTCAGTGATGTCTCGTCGGTATGAAAACCTCCGTTTGCTGAAAGCAGCTTTCATAATTTGGGTCATTCATATTTACGATACAAAAATGTTCGTAGTTACCCAGTTTGTTTTTGAAAATAGTATTTAGACATACATTTGCGTATTAACGAGAGATATATTTATTGGTATTGGAACTAATCGATCCGGCAATATCAGTATGGTGCCTTAGAAGCGTCTCCAACTGGTGTGTTTAGCGTCCTATTCCGCCCTTGCATTGAAATTCTACCCCGAAGTGGCAACAAATGACGTCAAAAAGCCAAGTGTCATGCTGATGAATGTCGCGATCCTGGCGGTTGTTCATAGAAATTCTGTCGAAAAGTACGAGCGAATGTGAGTGTCGCTGTCGTCGTGGCGTCGCAACTCATGGCTGCAGAAGCATCCCCGGGCCATCAAGCTGGAGAGAGACCTGCAGGGAACAGGCATTTGCCACATCCACCACTGCTGCCCATCAGGCGAAAATCAAGCGACCCCTTTTTTGGACGGGGTAAACCAACGAGGCGGAGGGCCTTAGAGCGATAAACTAGCAGCTGAAAGAGACCCCCAATTGACTGCAACCTTTCGCCTCGTGAACGGAATACCAGTTTATCGCTCCAAGCTTTTCTACCTCGTTGGGATAAACACACCAGTCGGTGACGCGTTCGATGCACCACAGTGCAAGAGAAAGCAACGACAGACCGGCTTTCTTGACAGATTTGAAGCTAGGAATGCACGGCTCTATTCGATTCGAACTACTATATTAGCTCTTCTGCCCCAGAACAGTGAACAGGAGGCGCCTCAGTCTTGTTGCTTGTCAATGCGGTTGGTTTCCGAAAAGGGCAACTTTGGCAGGGCCATGTTACCGAGAGAGTGGACACGAGCGCTGCTTCGCACTTCGAAAGAACGCTCGGTGATTAGAGCTCGAGTTCAAGTCCAATGATCGCGCCGCTGGCAGTCTCAGAGCTGCGAAAAAAAATCCCCATAAGATGGCGCCACTTGTCAAACTGTGGACGCATGCGCAGCATGTGATATTCCGTAGAAGACATTAAAGGCCCATACGCACATTCGCGTTTGAGCGCGGTGCGTTCCGTAGCGGCAAGCGGACGCGTTGCGTTGCGAAGACCGCTTGCGCCAAACTTGTACGCACAGTTGCGTTGACACGCAGTCAACCGCAATCAAGAGCCAATAAGAACGCGCTATCGTCGCCAGTGGCTCACCAATAGTAAGCGAAATCCAAGGCAACATGGCGGCGCACGGCGACAGCGTCGAAGCGTTCGATCTTGGGACAATCTCGCCGGCTTCCCCGACGTTTTGTCAAGCTTGAACCATCGCAGCCTTGGAAAATACAGTGTCCACCGCTCCCCAAAACGAAAAAGCAAGCACTGCGACCGGCGAACCGGATACGTCTCGCCGAGTCGGCCGGGTGGGGCGAGAGAACACGTCACCCCCTCTCCTCTTTCGGCTTCTGATTGGTCGAACGCGCCCGAACGCACCGCAACGCTTCGGAAAGTTGAACGAGTCTCTACTCGCTTGCGTCGCGCTACCGAGCGTTGCGGGAAGGCGCGCGTCGGTCCGCAAGCGACCGCGCCTGGCCGCAAGGACTCCGCAACGCACTCAAACGCGTTCAAACGCGAATGTGCGTATGGCGCTTTACTTCACATTCGCGGAACATATTACGCAGTTAGGTATTATAATTGACAGCGCTCTTTAATCTCCAAAATGCTGTAATTCACTCATGTAATGCAGTATCATAGCCTCCTCTAGAGTGACAAAACTTGACAGATCGTTACGAGACGTGGCCGCCGAAAGTGAAAAGGTAGAGCAGCAGACAGGAAATGAGAAGAGATGCATGTAACGGGCGCCCCGCTGCGGCGAGGCGCGGAAACACACTTGTTCCGAGCGATGGAATGTCCGCTCGTGCTCCTCGCGTTCCTCAGGCTGCCGCTTCTTTTCTCGTTAGGTTACAAAACCAGGTTTCGGGTCCTCGCCACTGCAAAAGCTCTGCGCTGACTACAGGCTCCCCGAGAAATGCTCTGTGCTATCAGATCCTCTCGCTCCAAATCTGCGACCGGGCACTCTATGGCTCCGTCGTTGAACTGTCAGGCTTTGAAGCATAGAGGCGGCTGTGGCAGTATTCAAGACAAGGACGTTTAAACAGACAGGACCCTGCATGACGTCGGCCTGAGTGAAGCCGGAAGATGCGTTTAATCCCAGACTGCCTTGCGCACTCGTTCCGAGGCCGTGGGGTAGCGCACCGGCGGTTCGTCTGCTTTCTAATCTGCTCCGGCGTGTGCTTCACGAGGCTAGCTTTCGATTCGGTCGACGTCCGCCGTGGGCGTCCACGATGCAAATGCTTTGCAGCGTGAGTGTTTATACTTAGTTCCACATTATGTGCGAGCGAAGTCAGAACTGGAAGCGCGAGCCCGTTCTGTGCGCTCCTGGCTTGCATGCGCGCTCGTGCGATCTGCTGCTGCTGTTTATTAAAAAATGCGTTGCGCACCGCCAAGTCCTTCACGGTGCGTCGTCTAGAGCGCCTCAATTCTAGTCACTTAGTTTCTGCTGGGCAACCAGGCGTTCGTTTATAATATAAAAGTCTCCCGTTAAGCGCTGTTTCAAATAACAGTGGGTGCCGCCATTACTTTCGGTGCACACAGTCGCGTTGCCACGGAAATGTCATGGCAACGCGGTTGTTTGCACCGAAATTAATGGCGGCGCCCACTCACTAGGCTTCCCATTGGTCAAGAAATGCTCGTTGTGGCTCGTGGCCACGCCTACTTCCGTTACACTTCGCTCCATGCATTGGGGATAGGGACGCCACTTCCTGCCCATTATAACCTCCTTGATTCAAGAAGTGATCGTTTAAATATATCTAGAAGGCACTAGTCGTTTCCACGCCAAGTTTAGCCTGAAACCAAATTGGTGTTTAAGGGGCGACTGAATTGGTGTATAGGTCACGTGACTTGGATTTCCGCCTAAGTTTGGCAGGAAAATTAAATTGGGGGGGGGGGGGGGGGCTTTTAAGTCGAGTGACGTCAATTTCCCCACTGAATTTAGCGCTGCAACTGAATTTGCGTATAGACCGACCCCGTGACGACGGGACACGTGACGTCAATTTTCCTACTAAAGTTTAGCTGAAAAATGAACGGACGGATGAACGAACACATTTTTAAATAAAGGGTTTCCGTTAGAAAAAAAAAAAAAAAAGAAACTTTCCATGCTTTAAAAAAATGACAGCGCGGAGAAGGTGGTATTCGGAACTGTCTGCTCTGACACAGGTGGAGGGCGTCGTAGAACCCCGAAACGACGGGGCGCTACCCAACGCGTCGTCGTCGCTCTTCTTCTTCAGCGACGAATACTTCGAGGACTACCTCGGGGCCCCCTTCACCCTTGGCACGTTGGGCTTGGTGAGCGACGAGCCCACGGCCACTCGCGTCTCCTCCGAGACCACCGTCAGCGTGAGTTTGAGTGCACTGCACTATAATGTAAACAAAAATGGCTGTGTTGTAGGTCCGTTTACCGAGAAGCAGAGAAGAGTGAATGTAGTGCAGTCATGTCTCGTTAATATTGTGACGAAGAAAACAACGCACGGCCCGGCTTTTTTTAAAATGTTTCTATCTCATTGAGTGAACGCGTCTTCGCCATGCGCTGCCGGCCGTGCATTTTAGTAAGATTTGGTGGAGGAGCCGGGTATCATCATCTTGCGCCCATCGTCGTCATCGCTCTTGACCTTGGCGGCAGCAGTTCTCTGCCTTTAGCCGGTTGAATTTTCAGCGGGGCTGGAGAGTCAACCTCCTGTCCCGCTGAGCTGTCGAAAAATGCCGGAGGGACGATGAGACGAATGTCGAAGGAACGTAAGCTACAGGAGTTTTATAAAAGTGATGAAGACTAGAAAGCTCCGGGAACAAGAAAAAACAATTGAGGAGATGAACAGACACGCGAACTGGTAGTCCTCTTCCCTGTCCCCAGTCCTTTCGTGTTGATAGTTGTAAGATGAAGTGACTAGCCCGGATCGCGACGTCTTTGAGCAGGGGCTGGCACAGAAGTCAGCAAGGTTTCGGGATGCGGTTGCAGGTCAAAGGACACCGGAACATATTCAAATTTTTTCGTGACCGGTAGCAGTCTTTCGCTTATCAATGTGTCTTCGTCTCTGTCTTTTGTATGTGTGAGTGTATGTGCGCGTGCGTGTGTGCGTATGTGTGCGCGTGCGCGTGTGTGTGTGTGCCTGACTTTTTTACGCTCGTGTTTTCTTCATTCATTGACCGAGTCGTCCTCTTTAAAGGATGGAACCATGTAACGAAACAAATACACCATCTTCCCGAGGGGAACCATGGGGTGATGCGGAGCATCGCAGATCGTTATTAACGGTGTTAATAACGGTGTTAGTAACGTTGTTGAACTTCGCGGTCCCGAACCTCAGGTTCTGCTGCTCGACGTTCACGAACCAACGCGGCTTCCCGTTCTCGAAGGTCGGGTTCCGCCGCTCGCTTCCAACGTTTACGTTGAACTTCACGGTCCCGAACCTCAGGTTCTGCTGCTCGACGTTCTCGAACCGCCACTGCTTCACGTTGTCGTAGTTCAGCATCCGCCGCTCGACGTTGACGAATGGACCCCGCTTCTCGTTGCCGTAGTTCAGGGTTTGCCGCTCGCTTCAAGCGTTTGCGCTCAGCGTCGCGTGCCCTTCGCTGCGCAGCTTTGTCTTCAGTGGACGTAGCGTTGCTGTTAGTTTGTGGGGTGGTGCTGACGCTTGCTTGCGCCAACCCACTAACTGACGGGACTGTTGCTTTCATCACACGTCATCGGAAGAACGGAGTGAAGCGGAGTCAACAGCGGGTGAACTGAACGCGCGCAGCGCGCTACCGCTGCTTATATTCACACTTGAAGGAGAGGAGACTAGAGGAGGAGAGTTGCGCATGCGCGCGTGGTGTGAGTAGAAGCGAAAACACGCGAAGTGCACGCAGCTGGTAGAGAGAGCGGAGAGAGTAACGCGCAGCTGTTGGAGAGAGGGAAGGAGGAGAATTGCGCATGCGTAGTGTGAGTGCGGACTACGACGCCGCGGACATAGACCCGAGCAAGAGATGCTCCGCATCTAAAAGACCGCGTCGCTGGGGCAGTGGCGCGTCGAACCATAGCACGCGCCAGGCTCTGTGCGCACGGCCCGGCTTCCATAAAACCTTTTCATCTCATTGAGTGAACGCGTCTTTGTCTTGTGCCGCTGGCCGCACATCTTCGTAACAATATGGTCACCTTCGTCCCCCCCCCCCCCCCCCCAAACTTTCCATAACATTAGTCGTCCATAATAACGAGATACAAATGACTGTATTCACTTAGTCGGTTCCCGAATATTTTGTCTATATCGCGAGGTATCCCTATTAACGAGGCATGACTGTAAAGTAAACAATTCGAGGCATGCGTTCTATACTCGCAATGGCGAGAGGGACATCCCAACGAGGCACTACATCTATAAGACAGCGTCGACTTGTCTATTTTCTCGCCGCGCACAAGAGCAAACGGTTTCCACGACAAAATAAATATGGCAAAAAAAATGACTAGAGAAAACAAAGGCAAACGAAACATTCTGATTCAATATGCGAAGTTGGACGTTCTCTTGTATATACGAAGCCAGTGACTTTATTATTCACCAGTCGCGAGTCACGAGTCAACCGCAGCCATAATGAGAATTACCTGGTTGACTTATCGTTCACTCTTTAAAACTTGAGATTCTAAGTTACAGCATTTGTGCACGTTCGAAATCTGCACACGTTTTCGTATGCGGAGCTCATAAGTCACGTTTGAATTAGACAGTAAATATGAGAACAACCACCACCGCCTTCTGAATAACGTCAGATCATCCGCAACAAGCTAGATCTAGAGCAGGAATCTTCAAACCCCGTCCGCGGAGGCCTTCCGGTCGGCCCGAGGATGCGCGCGTTCCTTGCAATGACACCCGACCCGCGGCTGCTTCCAGCCTTCCCACTGCTACAGGCGCAAAACTAAGCGCAGGAAAAGTAACGGTGCCGTGACGCTCAGCAAAACGCATAGTATCCGTTCTGACTCCTAGATGAATCTACTGTGTAATATAGATAGTACGTATATAGCACGTTGTCATCACAGATACCACCATTCTTAGTCATCTATTTCATGTGTGTGTAACAATGTTAGAATTCCTTTCAGTTCTCACGTATACATGATTAGTGTCATGTATCAGAACGGTTGCTTAGCGTCATGTCCAGTTCTTTCATTCTCATGAGTCTTCTGTCGGTATGAATAAGGCTTAAGCTAAACTTCCGTTGCACCTTTATTATGCTGGAAGTTTTTTTATGGCTAGCAATTACTGTATAATGTAACAATTAACTGAATATTGAGTTTGAAAATAAACTGTATTTATTAAACCACCTCACTTATTTTTAAACTCCAGATGAAAGGTTTTTACTTGAACCCATCTTTAGGCTTATTTATTTAGTTTATCTTTATTTTTATTCACTCATTTACTTTGCGGCCCTCGAAACTAAGAAAGGGTTTCGAATCCGGCCCTGAGCCAAAACGCTTGTTGAACCTTGATCTAGAGCATGGACTCCGAATGTGACAAGCTCGTCTAAACTCCATTCACGCGAAGAACAGCTTCAATACGCAAAACAACCAGATCCTAAGCAACGGCACCACCTAGTCAGTAACTACATTAACCTTCCTAATTACTACCGCACCCGCAGTAATAAATGCTCCGGCAATTATAAACTGCGTAATTTCTGTAAAAACGATTGCCAGAAAGCTGCACGGAACAACCATCGTCCACTTTAACAAAAAGCCCTATTAGCTAGTAAACCGACCAAAGTCAATACAATTTTTTAATATAAGAATTCAAGACAAACCCACGAGACTGTGGAAAACACGAAGGACAACACAACATTACACATAACAGGAAACAATGCAACTTACACCTCTGCGACACGCATGACCAGAACCACCTCAACAACTATCACAACCAAAAGGAGTGGCCTGAAAAAAAAACAAAAAAAAAAAAACGTTTTTCAAACAGTTTGGTTGGGACACGCGTGTCCAAAAATTAATTTTACCGGAAAAAAAAATTAGAGTAACATGGATGACGCGAGATTTATATTAAATTTGGCTCGCAAAGTCCAGGACGTCACGTCATGGTCATGCGCACTTTCCACCTCAACGAGATGGTCATACCCTCTCTCCACCTCAACGTGATGGCCAAGCCGATCCACCTCTCCTCCACACGCCCGAAATGCCGGGAGAGAAAACAAATGAAAAGGAGGTGACTGCCGACTAAATCGTAGCTCGTGCCGTCAATATTGTGCTAAAATATTGTCTTTTTTTCACTTAAAATTAATTTCTCGACACGCGGTTTCCAACCAGGCGGTTTACATTTGTTCCCCGTGGTTCTTTAAAAACCATAAACAAACACCCCCCCCCCCCCAAAAAAAAAATTACATAAAATTTATTAGTTGTTGGCAAAATCATCACTGGAACAAGGGGAACGTTTACAAACACTGCCATCAAAACCGTCATTAACCACCAGCAACACGAGAACCTGAATAAGATAGAAACAAAAGATTAGTCGCACAAATTAGAATTCTTATCACTATTAGTGATAAGTCCACCCAAGCAACTACTGCCTGAGCTACCCCAACAAGATTCACCAAAACAAAATCAGCATTGTTGATGCCAATGCTGTGCTTTGCAATATAATAGTGTTAAGAGGATGCGTAGTGGCATAAAGGGGAACCATTCGTTGCGCTAAACCTAGCGCACACGCTGAGTTGTGTAAAACCGTGCCCACAGGATAATATTTAACGTGAAACGTTATTTGGCTAGATGTTCGGTATTTCGTGAAGCCCAGATGTGAAGCCTGGATAAAAGCGTGGCCACGAGGCTGGACAGTGATTGGTTGATGGGTGGGAGAGTAAGAGAGAGTAGCTCTATGCTGCTTGGTTAACGGGAAGGTCAAGTGACCAGTCAGTCTAAGCCGAATACTCGGCGAGAAAGTAGGCGTGGTTTCTGACCGCTGTGATTGGCCAGGGCCAAGGTCAATCGCGGCGCTGGCCAATCACAGCGGTCAGAAATATCGCCGACATTCTCGCCGAGTTTCCAGCTTAGGGCCCCAAAGGTGGAATGCGGAGGAGAGGTAGACGAGGAGGCAATGTGGGAGATGATTCAGATGAGGAGTGGATTAGAAGGTTCTGCAAGATCACCAGGTTTATCATTTCACGTGTACACTCGCCACGCCCTAAATTATCCGATGAAGAGAGCAGTGAACGCAGGCGTCTGGCTGAACAGGCTAGACGTCCTGCTAAACGATGATATGAACGTCTGTGATGCTAGAAGATTTCGCACCTAGGGATTGCCCATACACATTTTTTTTTGTTCGTTTCAATATTGCGAGATATTTTTCATATTATATGTCACATAGTTTCACACTTGGCCTGAAGTTACTCATCGACACATATTTGAATTAAATAAGTATTATTTTCTTCCGCGTTCCTATATGTTGAATTATGAAAATAGTATTCTGTAAGATGTTTTACGGGGGTTTGCAGGATTTCGATATACTTTATGATCTTTATTACGCTCCAATAATAAATGGTTTTGAATATTTTCAAACTTTGTAATAAAACGAATCAGTCATCTTCATAATTCAACATGCTTGCATTTGTTTTATGCTCCCGTGCATCTATGCAGGCATACGTTATCCCCAGGAGACGCGTCATGGAGGCGATCGAAATCTTTATCAGCCCCCCGAGCTTCCTGTACCAAATCTGGCACTTCATTGCCAATATATTTGGCGTTCTTATTCTTCAAACGCAACCAAAATACCAGGTGAGCGAAAGGACAACGACCCAGCATAAACCGAAACCGAGCGCAGCTCTGGTCGGTGCGTCATTAAGGTTCTAGTAATTAATGGTGGTCATAGTGTTTTTTTTTCGTATAAATACAATGAACCCCGAAAAGTTAGTAGCACGATGAGTTATATTTATCAAAATCGACAAAAAAAAACATAAATTAATTGTAGCTGTGCTTCAATTAGGGATACGGATGTTTCAGCGGTTAGAACATATTTATCTGCAGTTTTATTTTGTGTTAACCAAAAGTAGAGTTTCCACGGAACTGCCCGCAAGGCTTATGTCTGGAACCAACGCCCCTTGCCTGTTTTGCTTCTTTTATGGGTACCGGGACGTTTTCAAAGTTTTCGGGTGACGCGCATGGTTTCTGGAGGTTAGAGAATCCCATTCCCTAACCTCCAGACTAGAGAATGGGGTTCTTAAACCTGGAGTTTAGGATTCCCTAACCTGTAGGTTAGGGAATGATTCGTGTCTTGTTTTGTTTCCCCAGCATAGGCCTAAAAATACGATTTGTTTTGTTCGATATCGGAAATCAACATTAAATGCGCCAAACCTGTGGAAAAAAATGAAGCCTCAAAATATACCTAGAAATAAGACAAAAACAACCGCATCTCCACGTGGTGAATGGTGTTTGGGGCGTAGCTCTGGTGGTACTGGTCTGCGTAGACGGTGAGTCGCAGCATGCCGAGCCTTTCGTTCGTTTTCATCCATGTCACGCTGCGGTCAAATGCTAAAATGCGTATATAACCACGTTCCATACCACACATTCTCTTTCTGGCATGGATGAAAACGAACGAAAGGCTCGGCCACGGTGTAGGCTTGGCATGCTGCGGCTCACCGTCTACGCAGACAAGCACCACCAGAGCTTCGCCCCAATCAACATCATTCACCATGTGGAGATGCGGTTGTTTTTTTGCCCTACACGAGCACGGGAGCACGTGCTCACGTGCTTGTGAGCACGTGAGCGCGTGAGCTCACGAGCAGGAGCACGTGCCCCCGCCGGCGGAAAAAAAAATTGGGTTGTGTGTGTGTTTATACAGCCTAGAACTTGGTCTGCCTCACAGGGGCGACGAGTCTCCCAGCTGTAGATGAGAAATTTAGCCAGTGCGGTACAGCCGCTAGCCTGGGGTCTTTAGCGTGCATCACGCAGTAGTGATACACGACCGCACGCCGGTACGGTGCTCATCCAGATCGAAACAGGCAGGGGTGGGGCTCGAACCCAGGGTCCCTGGGTTCTACAGCGCGAGCTTTCGCTCCACGTGCTCCGAGCTGGTGTGCGCTAGCGGACGGACATACGGACATGGCTAGGGTGCCTTCATGTGCGCTTTGCCTAGGGTGGAGACATCTGGCCATTTTGTCTCATACTTTTATTTCTCTTTTTTGTTCAGAAGCGCGTGATAGAGCGTGTCCCTGCACGCGTTTGTGGCGCTGACTGTGCTATGGCGACATTTTGTTTTCGTCGATTTCTTTGTATTTTCCCCGTGAGCGCGTGCTGTCGGCATCGGGTACTACAAAGGGTGGCATCACCCTAAACAGAGGGACATTGAGGAACCCTAGACATGGCTAGCCCCTAAGGAGCTTCGCCCCTAAAAAACAAAAAAACAAAAAATAAATAACAAGAAAAAACAACCTCAGTAGTAGTCAATATCAACAATAAAACCGGGGGGGGGGGGGTAAAAATGGGAGCAGGACAGAGCAAATTCATGGGCGCAGACATCGGTCTCACGGAGAGAAGGGAGGAGAAAGGGAGCGAAAGAAAAGCGGAAAACGAAAGCGAACGATAGTTTAGGCTGGGTGCCTTCATGCGCGCTTTGCTTGGGGTGATGACATCTGGCCATTTTGTTTCGAACGCTTATTTTTTTATTTTATGTTATCATGCGCGTGTAAGAGCGTGTCCTTGCACGCGCTCTTGGCGCTGGCTGTCTAAGGCGACATTTTGTTTCCTGTGATTTCTTTGTATTTTCCTCGTGAGCGCGTGCTGTCGGCATCGGGTACTACAAACGATGGCATCACGCTAAACAGAAGGATATCGAGGGTCTCTAGTTTAGGCTAGGGTGCCTTCATGAAGGACATCGAGGCTCTGTAGTTTAGGCCTGTTCAATTTGCCGCGGCTTGTTCAAGTTGTCGAAGTGCAGGTCAACTTTACTAATTTTTATATACAATGCGCGACGTCGCTGTTTTCGTGTAAAATAAAGCTAGAAAAAACACTATACTGCGTGACAACTTTTCTGGGCAATGCAGTGGAAGGTACAGGCATGCGCACCCTCTCCCCTTTTGAGCGCTGAATAAAGCTGTGCGCGGGCTCTCCTCCTCTCCCTGGAAATGCCAAGAAAAGTAGATAGTAGATACGGACCTCGCAAGTAACGTTTTCTTTGTGTATATCGGAGCGTCGCCAGAAATATGGTCCCATCGCGACTACCGATGTGCGCGTCTAGGTCCCGTTGATCCGCACCGGCCGAAACGCACTGGACCTTTCCTTGTTGGCTATTATATTAGCTCTATAATTAAAACCTGTTCACCTCTTCCTCTATTCTTTATGAAGCGGCGTCATACTACGACGGTGCTAGCTCAGCGATTGGTCCCCAGCCCGAAGCCAAGTGGCCGTGGAAGGATTGATCAGTTCCTCTTCTACGCCTCACCCCACTATAAATTCAACGGCAAAGCTGCGAACCAGCAGGTCTAACCACGATACAGTTAGGGAACGCGAGGTATATTGATCGGACCTGAGTATGAACGCACTTCCCCTTGGAGCACTGAAACGCCCGCAAGGGATGCACGTTTTTTTTTTTTTTTAAATGTCTTGTGATGGAACAGCTGGCCAGCAGATGTAGGCTTCAGTCACTTGGGGGATGAGAAGAAGTATGCACCGTTCCGTTGCTTATCGCCCAGGCGAACTTTGTCTCGTCAGTGGGCACAGATTCCAATATTTCACGTAAGAGAGCTAATGCGCATCCTCCAAATGCGTTTCACAAAGCAGTAGGCAAAGATGTTAGTACCCATGACGTTATCAGTGGAATAGTCTATAGACCAATTCAATTTTCTAACAGTGTGTTGGCGTACAGTTCAGGCAAACACCCGTGTCTGTTGTGTGCTCTCCAATGACATCAAAACTCTGCTGTACAAGCAACAGAGGTTCCAAATTTAAGTAGTGTTGGCATAACTAAGTCCCATGTTATTGACTACAAATGGAAGTTAGTTTTCACAATACTCCGCCAACATTATTCCATATGATAAAGACTTTCTTTCTAAGCAGATGAAGTGAGAGCACGGACTGGATCACGGTCTGTGTTGGACACAATTACATATGAAATAAATAGTTCATCTCATGTCAGAGTACAGCCAACGCTTCGGTTCGATGGAGTCAATCAAACAGGGCAAAGAGCGCAACGTTACGCAGTTCGTCATAGTTTACTGTTTTTGCGGTAAAATGCTAATATAATCTAATGCAGCGAATGGAGCGTGACCTTGTGTTCCCAGCATTTTTGTTCGCAGTTTTACGTTCTGTAGCCCTTAACTACGCTCTGACTTACGGTGAAACAGCGTAGCGAAAAGCGAGTCATGGGTGAAAGAACAGCAGCGACGGGGCAAAACCAGCGATGTCATCCCTGGGCGTTCTTACGGCATTCGCTACTTGGAGGAGGGTGGGCACCTAACGCCCACAACACACAGCTGTCACTGCAGGATTGCTCACCGGCCTGCACGAGAGCATCAAATATGCACAGCGCCTCCTCTCGGTCTATACACGAAGCGGTACAGGCGGGTTCGAAAACACCTGCCTAAAAAGTCCAATTCGCACGCAGACGTGGCCCCTGGACAAGATCAAGCTGCGCCTCAGTTCCTTGCTTCTGCCGGACCTGTCGGCAGCGCACGATTTTCATCGAAGCCCCGATATCGAGGACATTGTGCTCGTGCAAGGCTCACTCGTGGACGTCAACAGCGGCGACCTGTACGTTGCGCCGGCCTACATCCCGCGCAGTGTCAAGAGGTTCATTTTTCCGGTAAGCCGATGGCAGGAATAACCTACGCCTTCTAGAGGGGTCCCCAAAGTTTCTCAAGTACGGGGACCCTGAACCCGTCAAGCACAAAGCTAGGGCCGAAGCTCATGGCGCGCCCCGAGTGCCCTCTCGCGACGATGACTGAGCCCTTTCGTCTTTTTCGCCCAAGTTCAATCGGCCCGCTCCGAAAACTTGCAGCTCCAACTTGACGTTTGACGAGTCTAGAGACGCTGGCACTAGGTTTGTGGACTGGTATAATGAAAAACAACAACAACAGCCTGTTCAACCACAGTCAGTTTATTACAATGAGTCAAAAGGAACAAAAATATTGAAGCTCCTCGGTCTGCTCTAGCGTTAGCAGTGAGGACTGAATCAAATTGAAAATAAACGAATAATGCGAAAATTCGATATAAAATGTGCTTAGAAATGGTGCTGTCACGGACAACTCACGAAGCGTGAGGTGTGGCTTATTATGTCTTCGCCTCTTATCTATTGATTGGTTCTTTAGTGTTCTTATCTGTTGATGTCGCAATCCCAATGGCTGGGAACGGATAATGATTGCTTTATACTGCGTTTCATATTCTTTCAGTGACTGTGGTGGCGGGTTGTCCCCACAGTGGTGTCCCGCGATTTATGAAGAACGGCGCAGCTGGAAACCGTTTTAATAATTCCAGTGCATTATACCTACTATATCCTGAATTCAGAGTGCATTCGGAAAACATGTGTGATGATGAATGTAATATATATATATATGTATATATCATAATCTATATATATACACACAAACACGGGCACTTCCCACCATCGTACTTAGTCTCCGTGGAGGAATAAACGAACATATATGAATGAACTGTACTTAATCCAGTGCATCAAGAGATGAATTTTTTTTTTTTTAAGAACTTGCTTAAAGCCAAAATCCTGGCTCCGCCGGCCGTTATTTTAGCTTTCGGCTGGGTTCTTAAGCAACATACAAAAAAAAAACTTGGATTCTTTGATGCATTGGATATATATATATATATATATATATATATATATATATATATATA